AAACTATCCATTCCGGTAACTTTCTTCATCCCTGATCCGAAACACGGCGAGCAAGCCAGAGCCTTTAGCTTCGTTAATAATGCACCTAACAGTACTCACTGATGTTTTTGTTGCTTCCGAAGTCTGTTTTATTTTTTCCATATCATTCTTCCCCTGTTTTATAATGAAGCAATATACGTCGTACACAAATTTTCTACCTTTTCTTTTGAATACTACACCAGTTTGTCACGGCATAGTGTATGTTTTATAAAAAATCAACAAACACACAACAAATAGCAATGGCAACAAAGTCCACAAGCAATTATAATAAATAACTTAATAGAAGGAATATCTATTTTACCCCAAGATTAAATTATTACAATTATTAACCTATATGTTTTGTTGATGTTCTAATAAATATATAAATAAATACCTAAGTTGATTTTAATAATTTAATAGCATTATGACGCAGAGTAAGTAATGTTTTTGCACGTGAGTGTACCATGCGCGAACTTACCCCCACTACGTCAACAAATGCTCAAGAAGTTTGCCGGCTATTATACAAAATGTGAATCTGATAGTGGCCGCGATTTTAAAAATTTACAGGTACATCTTATATAATAAATGTGTAGGAATATACGACAAAGGGAAGATCTTCCACCGAGCAGGTGATATTGCTCGGTAGACCGACGGTCCGAACGTTCTTGTTCGGAACTTGTATATATGCGCTTTATCTTGAAGATGTCGTAAGCGAGATTCAGGCATCTGTCAATTATCTTGCGTTGTATGATGGCTACCCGCCACATCACTCCCCTCCGAGACTGGAGGTCGTGTCATTTTTAGTTAGCGTTGTCGGTGCTGAGATTAGCTTGCAAGGGCCAGTGCTGCTCGAAGCCTACGGTGAGTCGAGGCTGAGCTTGAATGCTGCGTGCGTGTCGCCAGTGCTGCTCGAAATTTGCAGTGAGTCGAAACCGAGCTGAATGCTGCGTGCGTGTCGTGCGTAGTCCATGTGATGCAGAGCTGCCCCGCCGGAGATGTGTGACCCCAAGCGTTGATGATCCGGTCGTGGGCTGCGATGAACTGTAGCGGCGTGATGAGTAGATATGTGTCGTTCGCGAACGAACGAGTCAAACGACCCGGGTCTCAAATTCCGCGCGAACGATAGGGTCACTTCAAAAAATATGAGTCGTTCACTAAATCGACTCGTTTAACACAAAACCTACGAATCAGAAGAAAAGAACCATACGAGTACGACGGTCATTCGGGTCATTTCGGGTTGCCGCGTCTCGCCCCGCGCCCNACTCGTTTAACACAAAACCTACGAATCAGAAGAAAAGAACCATACGAGTACGACGGTCATTCGGGTCATTTCGGGTTGCCGCGTCTCGCCCCGCGCCCGTCTCGCTTAGTCGTTCGTTCGACTGAACGGGTCGTACGAACCGGATCATTTTGTCAACAGGTCAGTACTGATCTGAATCTCTAAAATTGAACGAACGACACATATCTAGTGATGAGGCAGTGAAGTTGCATGCCGTAGGACCAGGAAGCGCGGTGAGTCGGCTGCGATGGTCCTGTTAAGGCTGCGATGCTGGCTTGCTGTGGGACGACTGTCAATGACGTGCTTTTATCTGCGAGAATGCGGGGATTGTGATAGCCGAAGTTCTTAATGCGCTAATGATGAATCAGAAGGTTGCGTGCTAACATCTCGTCGCAGGTCACCAGTTTGGGAATATACGACGAAAGGAAAGATCTTCCACCGAGCGAATGATATTTGCTCGGTAGACCGCCGGTCCGATTGTTATTGTTCGGAACTTGTATATATGTGCTTTATCTTGAAAATGTCGTAAGCGAGATTCAGGCATCTGTCAATTATCTTGCGTTGTATGATGGCTACCCGCCACAAATGTAAAAATGAACTGTGGGCGAGGGGGAAGATTAATAATTAAAGTAGCTGATTTAAAAAACTTTTCAAAGGGGACTTTCTAATTTGTAATAAATAATTGAGTGATGATTGTATGAAAGTGACAAACAAAAACAGGCTTAGATTTTAAAGTGCGTTTAATTTTGAACAAAACTTCTATTTGAAGTAATTTTCTCATCGTCGAGTGCTATCATTTGAATTGATGGATACAATAAATGTACCTACAAATGTTTTTCCTTTCCAATGTTGTTAGGTCCTGTACGTTTTGTAAAAATGATTACCTACGAAGAGCTTAAAGTACAAATGCTACAACAAATTATCTGTAGCTAATTTATCCGCCATATTGTTATGATAAATAATTTAAAATATGCCAAAAATACACAAACATGGAAGAGTATTATTTATGATATTATAGAATACCCATATCGGTATTTCATACATAATTATAGATATATTTATGGTATTAAGCGAACACTTTTTCATACATACATATTATGCATATATTCATAATCTACTGACATCTTAAACTTTATTTTGAATTGGCTATCCCATAAGCTGACAGCGATGAAATAGAGAAAAAAAGGGATGTAGTTAGTAGCGGCTACGATTAGAGGGAGTATTCGTATTAAATTGTTGTCCCGAAATACCGACTTCATGATTATTTTATTATTTTATTGCACAGACGGCTGAACGAACTCTCGACCTACCTAGCCCCACCGGAACCTGCATGACATCAAGAACTGTATTTGAAACTGATCAACATTACACTGCGGCGCGGCGTCAACTCCGAATCCCGTGGATCCTGCTATAAATTTAGAGATCCAGATTCGTCATATTATTATGATCTATTAATAGATACATAATTGTGTATAATCTATGGATGTGGACAGTCTGGTTTAGTGGTAATGCCTGATCTAACGTAGAACATTTTGGCGGAAATGTGAGGAGTAAAGTTAAATACATTGTTTTATTTTTAAGTAGAATTTAGTGTTTCTTTCGACTTAAAAATGAAATACTGATGGATGAGCAGTCGCTCAGCATTTGTAAAAGTACTCTAGTGTAGAAAAATAAGATAAAAGCACTAGATTGCTTCTCGAGCTTTTGAACTCTATAACGCGCACATCCCTATTTGGCCTACTCGTGGGTCTTGTAGGGGCATGCATGCGGGCGGAGCGGCAGAGACGTCGCTGGGCAACCACGAAGTTTTTCGAAAAGCTGTCAGTCGATATAGCACCAATGAAATATATCTTACATCGTTATACTTTATAAATTATACACCTTAAACTGGGATAGTTTTAATAATTCGTTATAACTCCTAATATATAATCGTCATAATACTGAAAGATTATTCCTCTCATCTCATTTAATTCCCTTTCATTTCATAATAAATTACAAAAAAATCATCTAACAATATTCTATTTCGTTCTACTTTTCGAATCGGTAACAGACGACATAGCTTTCGGCTCATAAGGCATTTAATAGTAATTCTAATTTTGACTAAAAAGGGTAGTATCCGGACCATTAAAAAGTTATACGTAGCGTCTGTAATTTGGAACTAAAGATTCCATGTTTGGAATCTCATACCGTAAAATGGGGTAAATAGGGACAAGATCGACCTTCAGATTGAATTTTAAAATAGTTCCAATTAAATAGTCACTGCTCAACCAAAGAAATAAGTTGAGTCTTGAACGTACCTAGGTGATAAAAACCGTTACATTATTTTAATTATTCATTTTTTTTAAAAAATCGGTAAAATAATGGTAAGGGTTAAATTGGGATATTTGTAAGGGTTGTCAGCTCGCAGTACTGCGATATATAATAGGTAGGTATGTAGATGCCATACAATTATTTATATGGACCGAAATGATGAATACAATCCATAATTTAAGCACAATACACAACATAGTGTAAATTAAGCTGGTTTCTATTCCGAAGCGATGTGACGTGAATGATAATCAACAATACAATGATCAAAAAAAGTATGTGCATGTTATATTTTAGAAAATTATTATTTAATTTCCTTAAAAATCACAACTNCATAATTTAAGCACAATACACAACATAGTGTAAATTAAGCTGGTTTCTATTCCGAAGCGATGTGACGTGAATGATAATCAACAATACAATGATCAAAAAAAGTATGTGCATGTTATATTTTAGAAAATTATTATTTAATTTCCTTAAAAATCACAACTCTGAAACAAAATCATAAAATAGAATAAAAAATAGAAAACAAAAAGACTGGAAATGCAATAATACAATTTTATTTAATCAACAACGACGCGTGAATAGATTCTGAAATAACAAAAGTTTTGATTCATTTGAGTTCTTTTTAATTAATTTCTTTTTATTGCTGTAAAGGACATACGACCGGGCAGATATTACAAGGTAAATGTCGCGAAAAAAAGATATACTTTTCTTTTATCTATAATACTTACATAAACTAACTGATAAACACATTAAACTTCTTTACATCACGCAATTGAGTGATAGTATAGGCTAAAAAATCTATTATAAGATATCAGTGACAACCCTAACAAGCCATCCCTATTTTGTCTTTTGGCGTTCCAAGTTTGTGTTTTGTCGTCCCTAATTTTTCCAGTCTCGTCCCAATTTTCCCCAAAAAGAAAGGAAAACATATACATTTTTTATTTTGTCAAAATATTGTATTTAAAATAAAAATATTGCAACTTACCATTTGTTTTGGTATTTTCAGGTGTATTAAAAACTTATATAAACTGTGATCTTATTGAAAAAACAACGATAATATTACTTTTTGAAAAGTTATTTAAGCTGTTTTAAAACGCACTTTTCAACCACTATTTTCAATTTAATTTGATGAATTTTTGGGACCAACTAACTGATATTTAGTACTTCCATAGTTAACTTGGTTTTTCTTCTATACATTAATAAATATTACCGTAAAGAAAATTAGGTAGATTCCGTGCTACAGGTACTTTGAGAATCTTCCGCTGGTTTGTCCCAATTTACCCCAGAATCCCAATTTACCCCATGTCATGGTACTTTTGTGTATGTACTGTGTTTTCTATTTAATCTGTGAGATGCAGTGAACGAATGACATTGGGCGAGTAATGAATGAACAAAACTACGATTGAGCCGAACTTGAATGAAATAATTTCAGAGTGAGAAATTGAGTCTTTCTTGTGGTTTTGTGAATTTGTGTTTGTGCAAAATTCATTGTAGACTGTGTTTTAAATATTTTTGGAGCCAAGTTCCCAAAAAAACGTACCGCTTGGTAGTAATATGAGTAATGTTACCAACCAAAATGGAACAGGTCTAGAGCAGCAGGTTTGTAACTACCTCATGTACCTCTTCATGCACTTTTATTGATTTTTGGTCATCTTAAATGAAAGTCATAGAAAATTATATTTTTACTCTAACTCTAAGTTTAGATTTTCTATGATCTCTAAAGCAAACAAAATACGGACACGTCTTGGGGATTGAGTGCTAAAAAAAACATAAAATATAACTAACGTGTCTCTGAATAATCAACATGGCGACTTGCAGATTCAGCCTTTTTGGTATCTTTCTCTTTAATTACAACATCACTTAATTTCCCACCGATACTTTACCTTGGTTGGGCTGTCCAGTAGTTTTCCAAAAACCTACGAGTGAGGTCATTGTCACGTTACATTTGCGTGTCATGGCGGGAGGAAATGAATATTTTACAGATTTAGCCATTATAAGAACCTGTCGTGAATGTGTTTGCTTTAAATATAAACAGTATTCTATGTTATACTCATAAAACAAATACATCAATTAATAATGTATTAATAACTTTCAAATCAAAATCGTAAATGGTGACTAACAAACAGAAATTTTCAGCTTGCTGGTCTGGACTTGCAGCCCCAGGCTCCTAAGAGTACTGGTCGCTACATACCCCCGCATCTGCGTAGGCAGTTGCAGGCAACCTCTGATCAAGGTAAGTTTTTGTAACATGACCTAATTATAACCTATCGCTTTAATTTTGTATAGCTAACTTAAAAGAAAAAAAAACACTAAATTATGCAGTCCTAAGAATTTCTAGCCTAGATTTTTCTAAAACCTAATTTATTACGAATTTACATTTACAAAAACATCAAATCTAAATTGAATCATGTCTCCCAATTAGATCACAAAGCTTAGGGAATCTAAAGCACGAATCAGCAAAAATCCCAAAATCATATTTTATCAACATAGAGTACCAATTCGCTAAATATTTTATTACTACTAGATATATATTTATACTAGGTTACTAATATAAAATGAAATTGTTATCCTAAAATAGTAGAAAATGAAACGTTTTCTGACATCAAGCTATCTTACCTATCATTGACCTGTTGCTTAGTTGTTTTTTAGGAAAAGTAGAAAGCAACAAAAATATGGATTGTAAAAATGTTAACTATAATTATAATTAATTAGATCCATTCTTATTAATCTATATATCTATCATGAGATATTTAGTAATATTTACAATAATTATCTTGAAAAAATATTAAATGCATGTAAATCAGTTTATTAACTTGCTTGGCTTCTTGCTAATGATGCATACTCTTAAAAATACTGAAAACTACTATGAATCCTGACAAACAAGGCCTTAGAACAATAACCAAGGGCATTTATAATGCTTATATGTGTATATTTGCTAAGTTAAGTTGATTTTGCTGATTGTAGTAGTATTTGGTGTATTGATGGTGATATAGTACTTTTATTGTTTTTGGCAATACTAGAAGACTAAAGCAAGGAATACTTTTTATTTCTTAATACTGTCAAAGCAGTGCATTTATGCTCTGTCATCCGAATTGTTAACAGGATTGAAATATGTGTACTTATAATTGGATAGCTGTTATACATTAAAAATATATATCGTTTGGACTTAGCACCATTCACATTGTGTTATCAAAGGGCATAAGTAATAGCTTAATACCAGGTGGAATATATTCTGACATAAAGCTGTAAAGCAACTCTTATCTGCAATTTATCTAATAAAATTTTCTGAATCTCTTAACATTCATTTGCTATTGAGCTTCTACATGCGATTAATGAGAGGAGAGCTCTAGTACAACCCTGATTTGTCAGTTTTTACAAAGTATTTGTGGTGAAATAATCAACAACTTTGTACCTTTATTAATTCAACTATACAAATGGGCCAGCTCACAACTTCTGTTAAGTGCTCATTAAAGGCCATGAACATCAGAACTTGTGCAATATTTCGACTAATGCCCGTTAAGCACACCATTATTTAATGAATTCTTAATATGATTTCCCATTTAATGTATTGCCAATGTTTTGCAAACTCTGATTACACTGCTAGACTGGCCCCTCCAGTGAAAATTTTGGTAAAAGAATATAACAGTGTGTGTAATGAAGAGAGTTGCAAAATTACAAAACAGATGCATGTTGTTCGTATATTTAGCAATAATTCCGCTAAAACATAGCCTACTTTCGGAAGGAAGAGGAAGAAATTCCTGTCTAAAATATAAACCACATGGTACAAAACAGATGTAGATTTAATTTTCATTTTATCTATACATATAAATAAAATTAGAGTGTCTGTTTGTAGTATTGAAATAACCATTTTTTACTACATGCATATGAATATATATACAGTACACACACCAAAATAACACTTTACAATTTTTTCTGTTTGTTCTGGCTAATCTCTGGAACGGCTGGACCGATTTTGATGAGACTTTCACTAATAGGTAGCTGATGATATAAGGAGTACCTTAGGCTACTTTTTTTAGACTAGCTTCACCCCGCGGCATCACCCGCAGTTATTGTCGGCGGGCTTCGCCTATCAATAACAAAATGTAATGTTTCCGAAGCGAAGCGAGGGCGGGTCGCTAGTAAGATAATAAAAGTAGTAGACAGTCAGTACATAATATAATAGTGGAATCCAATACATGAAAGAAAACTAATAATTAGAAATGAAAATAAGATAACTACACAGTCTACAAGTCAATATGGAAATAGTTTGGGTCCATGAAAAAAATACAGCCTACCTTTCATCCCACTTCGCAATATGGGTTTCTGCTCATGCAATATAAAGTATGGTCCACGCATGTGAAGGTGCATGGTGAAAGCTAGTCTTACCTAGTTTTGGGCTATACAACTTCCCCAAAATGTAGATGTAGAACAATAATATCTGGATTGTATAAATTGAATATTATTAAATAAATTCAACACATGTACAACCACATAGTTTCATAAAATTTCTAAAGTTTTATTAATAGAATTAACTAGGTTACTTGACTGACATAAATGTAGAACACGAGACTTATCAAGTGCTTATCATTTCCTCAGTATATACATTTTCAAAAAGTATACAACGGTCATACTCTGATACATACTGAGATATCAATGCCTCATATGAAAGGTCGCTCTGGTCAACCATTTATTAAAATGTACACAATTTAGGAACAGCAGTTTGTTCAAATTAAAATGAAAATTCTAATTGTTAACACTGAATGGTATTTGCTTTAAACAATGTTATCGTTTCTGAAAATATTCAATATCACATTCACTGGTAGCAGTTTATGTCAAAAATACCATTTAAATGTTCCTAACTTATCAGTTTAATAAAATCAATATTTTAATTTGATTAACTAAAAGAAAAGTACCAGTATAACCAATATACCAACAGTATGTATATGTAGAACATTTTAATATTTATATACTTGAAGAGAGCATGAACATTCATTCTTGTATGCAATATTTTATTTAGTGTATACCAAGGATTAGTTAAAACTATTATATGTAATCAATAATTTAAAGAATAATTTATTAAGATATCATTATATTTAAAATAATTTACCAACTTATCTAAAGGGGAAGAGTCTAAGCGCTCAAGCTTAGACACCCGTCCTAGTGAGTCACGGGACAACCGTTCATCATTCGGAGGCAGCTCTAGAGGCTACGACCGTGGTGGTCGGCGCGACGATCGTGATCGTGACCGCGAACGTGATTACGATCGCGGATACGAAGCGCGACACCAGCGCAGGGACCGCGGTACGTCTTGTTTCCTTGCTGATGTGCTTTAATTTGGCAACGATCCAAGAATGTAAAAAAGAATTGATATCCAATTAGATTCCACAAATAGAAATTCTTATTTCAATTCATAATGATATTTGAGTATGTATTTCATTGAAGATTGTTGTTTTGTCATAGTTATCAATTAACATGGTTTCCGCGTACTGCAATGACAGGTCGAGACAGTGGATCTCAGAATGGCGAACCAGAGCGTTGGAATGAATCCGAGAAATGGAATGATCGTGAACGCGAACGGGACCGACGCGGGCCTCGCGACGTGCGACGTGAGGAGGATTATGAACCACCGGCACCACGGAATGACCGCTGGAAAGAGCCAGAGCCAAGAGCTGAAGAGCGTTCCAATTCACGCTGGCCTTCTGACGATGTGCGTCGAACTAGATCTCGCAAAGACGAGGTAGACCTTCCAATCCGCGATGTCGAAATGTTTAAAAGAATATGTAATCTTAAGCCTAAAATATATAACATAAATACCTTTTGTTGCAGAATGATTGGACAGTACCGTTACCTCGCGATGAACGACAGGAAGTATTGCTGTTCGGCACTGGCAACACCGGGATCAATTTCTCCAAATACGAGGATATACCGGTTGAGGCCAGCGGAGACCGCGTACCAGACTGCATCACCAGTGTATGTATTAAAAATAAATAAAAGACACTTAAACAGAAAATATATTAAACACTAAGCCATTCATGGAATAACAAAATGTTGCAGTTTGAGGATGTTAACCTGACAGAACTAATGCGGACAAATATATCTCTCGCTCGCTATGACAAGCCGACGCCGGTACAGAAGTATGCGATTCCGATTATTTTGTCACGTAGAGACGTGATGGCGTGTGCACAGACGGGATCTGGAAAAACCGCAGCCTTTCTTGTTCCCATACTTAACCAAATGTATGAAGCAGGACCTGTGAAACACATGGGGTGAGTGTTGTTTTGGTATAAGCTTTATTGTAACACCATTAGTGATTAAAAAAATATTATCTTGATTTCCAGACCTTATAATAAACGGAAACAATATCCTTTGGGCTTGGTGTTAGCCCCGACGCGAGAGCTCGCCACCCAGATTTTTGATGAAGCTAGAAAATTTGCCTATCGATCACGAGTGCGACCCTGTGTGGTGTGAGTATTATTTTTTCAAAACCCCTTTTGTCTATTGTGGTATCATACCCTTTTTTTTTTCAATAAATATGAATGAAACAGAAAAAAAAATGATTTTGAATTAATATGTACAATGAACGAGCTGCTCTCATACCCAAGTTCAAATATGAAAATTAATATAAACTTAATCTAATTATTTTACTACAATTTTCAAATACATCATTGTAAATTAATAATATATCATTTCATTTGTAGGTATGGAGGCTCACCTATTAATGATCAGTTCCGTGAATTAGAGTCAGGATGTCATCTGTTAGTAGCCACTCCTGGGCGTTTGGTAGACATGCTGGCTCGTGGCCGAGTTGCATTGGATCACTGTCGCCATCTTGTACTCGACGAAGCCGACCGCATGCTGGACATGGGATTTGAGCCACAGATTCGTAAGATTGTAGAGTGCCACACAATGCCCAAGACTGGCGAACGTCAAACTCTTATGTTTTCTGCCACTTTCCCAAAACAGATTCAGCTTTTGGCTCAGGATTTCTTATACAATTATGTGTTCCTGGCTGTTGGACGTGTAGGCTCAACGTCAGAAAATATTACACAAAAGGTAATGATGAATTAATTGATCTGTATTATTTGTTTATTCGTCATTAATCTGCTTTAGTTGAAACTGCAGTTCTTTTTAGAACTGGGCCAAATTGCAAGATGACATACAAGTTTCATGAAACGGGTGTTTTTTTTCAAATGATAAAGTGTCACAATTACATAAGTCTTAATGACTCAAAAAAGCTGAAAAAAGAATTAATAACGTGATTTCACAGTGAAGTGTGACTCAGTCTCATTAGTAAATAAACTGTTACAAATATTCTTAATTTATTGTTTTCTTTTTAGGTTGTTTGGGTAGACGAAATGGACAAGCGTTCCTTTTTATTGGATTTACTAAATGCATCAAACTTGCTACAACGTGCACGTCCTGAAGAGGATCAACTTATACTTGTGTTCGTAGAAACTAAGAAAGGCAAGATACCTCAGAATTTCTTTTTTTATGCTATTAAACTAATTAATAATCAAGAGAAAACTAGTTTTAAACAAAACATCCTGAACGCAGGTGCGGATCAACTAGAAGAGTATTTATATTCCCAAGGCTACCCGGTAACATCGATCCATGGAGACCGTAACCAACGAGAGCGTGAAGATGCTTTACGACGTTTTCGAACTGGACAAACACCAATACTTGTGGCAACAGCTGTCGCTGCAAGAGGTACTGTTATATGTCTTAATATAATTTGAATGCCATATACATTTCTAATAATCACATAAAACTTTTCTTATGGTGTAAATTTAAATAGACTTTTGAAGTCGTCGTGGCCTAAAGGATAAGACGTCCGGTGCATTCGTTGTTGCGATGCACCGGTGTTCGAATCCCGCAGGCGGGTACCAATTTTTCGTATGAAATACGTACTTAACAAATGTTCACGATTGACTTCCACGGTGAAGGAATAACATCGTGTAATAAAAATCAAACCCGCAAATTNCTTTGCCATTCGATTCTAAGTTACGTTCGGAATTCTGATTTTTTGTTGATTAAGATAATAATATAATAAATTGCAAAATTCTATTTGAACAGCCATTGATCAAAGTAAGTTAATAACATAAATTTTTTTCTTGTCATTTCTCACAGGCCTAGACATACCGCACGTACGTCATGTAATAAATTTTGATCTACCATCTGACGTGGAAGAATACGTCCATCGTATCGGTCGTACAGGTCGTATGGGTAACCTCGGTGTGGCTACTTCCTTCTTTAATGACACAAACCGTGGTTTGGCACGAGACCTCGTCGAACTGCTCGTCGAGGCTAAACAAGACGTACCTAAGTAAGTACAGTAAACAAATAACATTATAAGATCGGATATGTGTGATTTCAGATTTCTAACATTTCAAATAAGCTACTTTACGCCAATGAACAAAGAACATATTATACTATCTGTACTTCATGCGAAGCCAGATACTGATCATAATGTATACTGTCCTTTGGCTAGTTTTTATACAGTTGATCCGTAGTTAACACATTGTTTATTTTGCTCTTAATTTTTTTTATTACATAGTTGGATAAACGAGTTCACAGCCCACCTGGTGTTAATTGGTTACCGAAGCCCATATACATTTACAACGTAAATGCCGTCACTCACCTTGAGATATAAGCTCTAAGGTCTCAGGTATAGTTACAACGGCTGCCCCACCCTTCAAACCGAAACGCATTGCTGCCGCACCGCAGAAATAGCAGGTTGGTTGGTACCTATACGTGCGGACTCACAAGAGGTCCTACCACCAGTAATGACATCAATCATAATGAAATTACACGCAGCCGAGCTTAAATTTTGGTAAACAGTGCAGTGCGGTAGGTAAACCCCTTATTGTAATTGGTTCAAGTTTATCATAGGTAACTAACTAACTGGTAATGTTGTAGGATAAGAATTATTTAAATAATTTACCAAAACTTATAGTCTTAAAATCCAGATCCAAACATTGATTAAAAAGCATAGTAAATCAATATGTTTTTGTCGCAGTTGGCTTACTAGCACCGCAGCTGACGGACGGCTTGGCGGCGGCGGTCGGCGCACTGGCTCTCGTTCTGGGAATGCTCGTTACGGCGGTAGCGGCTTCGGCTCAAGGGACTTCCGTACACAACCTCGTCAGGCGGCACGTTCTGCAGGAGCTGGCGGTATCGGTTCCGGTAACTTACTTACATGCAGCACATAAAATTTAAAGAACTAGACCAGAGTGTGAAAAGTTCTATAACTCTAATACTACACCCTACTAGACCTACTACTGATATCGTTCGTTGTGTGCAATCTATACTAATATATAAATCTACAGTGGCTTTTAAGGATGTTCCGTTATAACTACTGAACCATGCATCCGATTGACTTGAAACTTGGTATCCATGTAGAAAATACATGTACTTAATGGATAGGCTAATATTTATATGAGTGTTGGACTCCCTAATAATAATGATAATAAATAATAATGTTAAGTATGCCCAACGAAGCAGTATTTTTCTAAAATGACAACCCATGTAAGATTTCATCCATATTGTTTTTGATGAATACATAATGTTTATTTTATTTATTTCTCACACAAAAAAAGATTTCTCTAATATTGTAATTTTGTTCCGCAGGCTTTGGCTATGACGTGGGCTCATATGGTGGTAACTATGGCGGGTCGTACGGCGGAGGAGGCGGAGGCGGTAACAGCGGAGGTCCCGACTGGTGGGATTCCTAAATTCGTGCGTTTGACGCCTTCGTCCTATCGTCCCATTAGCGACCAAACCCCGTGAAAATGTGACTAATATCACAATGTAGTATTTATATGAAGGCGATATCTATTTATTGTTCTGCAAACTAATTCAGAACTAATTTGTACAAACTTAAAATCTTAAAAAATATCCAATATATAATCTCATAAATTTCAGCCAGACAGGACGCGTTGTTTTTTTTTTATCAATATTTTGGAAACTAACAGGTTGATGTCTAGATTGTTATCATAAGAAATTTTGACATGACATAAACATATGACTAATTTAATGACTCAGTTCCAAAGAGTAGAGCGTCTGAAATGTGTTCCTATAAGATAATCAGGAAGCCACGACACCCTGTAGTCTTCTTTTTATTTTTAATAAGTATTTATTTCATCTGATATGCTAAATTATATTACGAAGGCTGTAAAGAGAAACGCAATCAAGTGGTTTTCTTTTAAGGAATTGCTTCATTTTTCCTTTAAAGATTTTCTACATTTTTGTAATTGTTATTTTTACTTTAACTTCGAAACGGATGTAAACTGTATTTTTATCGACTTTTTTCTCTCTGAGGATTGTAGATACAAATTAATTTCTAACATGTACTAAATTTCAGATTTCTTTTTTGGAACTGAGGTATTTAATTGAAATTTATCATTGAATCAGTTGCGTTATATGAAGGCGGTCCGCGATCGTTGAATCTCAAACGTGCGATTTGCGACCGTAATCGCCCGGTTGTACCAATCTGTAGTTTCGCCGCAATACAAAACAATAAACTCTAATAATTATCACATATTTCGTTCGAAACACGCGACAAAACCGTATTCGTTTTTGTTTATTTTTCTCAATATTCATGGAGTTATCGATTTATATAGCAATATTTTTGATGTTCAATTTGTATCGTGAAAACCTGAATGTTATTGTGTATTTTCGATTTTCTATTTTCTGAGGTTTCATCCCTACGTCATCAACTAAAACTTTGAAGCATTTATGCACACTTAATTCGATGTAGCTATTCATGTAGTTTTAGAAATTCGAATTGAAACCAACATGGTATCATAGGAGATAACTAAATTTGTCTGTAGAGAAATCCTGTAAAATAAAGTCTGTTGTCAACGTGTTCTAACATAATTTGAATGTGCATCTACCAATAAAAATTAAGAAACAGGCAAACTAGGTTTTTTATTTCGACGAGTTTTTCCTATCAAAACAACATAATAAACTACTCAAAACAAAATAGGGCCCACCATGTTTTATAAACGAATTTTACAGATTCTTTTCCTTTTTCAGTTTTTATGATTAGGAATGAATAAATTAAGGTTTTTGAAAGTGTGTGAACATTAACAAGAGTAAGTTTTGCCAATTTTATGGAATTTAGTCAAAATTTACAATTTTTAGAAAAGTTGACAGAAATTATTGATTTAAGTAACGTTTGATTTTTAACTTTATTATTGAGTAAATCAATGAGTTTGATGGTGCTTAATAGCGAGTAGGTCCTCCTCTGTTCCGTATGCACTCTCTGAATCTAATCAGGGACACTTTCAATCAAGTGGGTGATGTTTTCCTCGGGTATTCGCTCCCAACACAATTTTAGGGCGTTTATGAGCTCTTGCCGATTAGTCACATTACTGAAGTTCGATTTGAGGCTTCTTTTCAATTGGTCCCATAAATGTTAATGGGGTTAAGATCAGGACTCATGGCCGGCCACGGTAAAACCGTAATATTGGCTTCAGAGAGAGCTCTCTGGGTTGTTCCCACTGTATGTGCGCGAGCATTGTCTTGCATAAAGACGAAGTTTTCACCCACTCTTTGTGAAAATGGGATGACATGGGGCCGAATTATTCGATCGACATACCAGGAGGCCGTTATGGAGCCTTCTTCCAGAATTACCAGCTCAGTTTTACCGAGCAACCTTATTCCAGCCCACACCATAACTTTTGGACCTCCAAAACGATCCGTTTCATGTATGCAAGGTTCTGAAAAACGTTCTCCTTCTCTTCTTCACACGTGCACTCGACGATTGTCGCTGAAAAACTTCACTTTACATTCGTCCGTAAAGAGTACATTGCTCCAATTGTCCATTGTCAACTCCGCATGCTCGCGAGCAAACCTCAAACGTGCTGCATGATGCGCTCTTATCAATTTTAGACAAATAACAAGAGATCTGGAACGTTGTCCGTCTTCATGGAGCCGATTTCAAATGGTTTGATCACTAATTCGTGTGCCAGTCGGTTGCCGCAGTCGAGATTGTAAGACGCGGGCGGGAATCGTACGCTCTCGACGTGCAGTCAATCCGAAATCCCGGTTTTCCTGGACGGTTGTAGCTCGCGCTCTTCCTGATCTAGATTTCCTCGCGACACTACCTGTCTCTAGAAAGCGTTCCCACGCGTTTCGAATAGCTTTTCGCGACACACCAAGACGTCTTGCCACTGATCTCTGAGATTCTCCCTCCTAAAGCATAAACACTGCTCTTGTTACTGTTTCCACGTCCATATGGCGCTGAGAATCAGGCATAATGATCGCGAGTAACACCGAAATCAAGTCAAAATGAAAAAAAGTAGACGTGCGACTGTAACATTCAGAATGTGACTAGGGTACAAGTGACTGAGAATTTGAGTAATAAACGTTTTTTGGAGTACTTAACTTTTTTTGTCTACACACCATTGAATTTCTGACTTGAAACATTGATAACGTTAGATAAACATGTCAACAACACTTCGAAATGTTTAAATTCACTATTTACTACCCAACAATTTTTTTTAGTCGAAATTCGAGACTAACTTAGAGTGGGCCCTATTTTGTTTTGAGTAGTTTAGATTGGGGAAAAAGTTTCTTCGTATTTTTTAATATAGTCTAAGGAAAGAAGACCTAGGAAGTGGGCGTGGCCTGCTGAGGTAATACAGCAGCGACTTCAGACTGGTCGGAGTTGAAGAGGAGGTTGAGGGCACCACTAACATATTGCCTCGTTCTGATCTGGGCACCAAGGATAGACGCACGTTGTACATTCGCGTGTCAACTTAGTTACCCACATTTTGTCATTAATTAGTATTTAAAATCTTTGTAATGAAAATTGTATTTTGTATCGTTTTAACTATATATTTTTAATATTTTGAGTCGTGATTTCTAATTATAGTTTATTTACATTTAACTAAAGTATGTAAGGTACCATTTTGTTCGATAACTTTATGCCATCTTGTAGGCAGGGACATGATCCCATTGCTATAGAAATTTTGGGGCTTGAAGATCAAAATACCGCGACAATTGGTTTTGGCAATCCTCTCGTGATGTTAACCTGACACTGCCTAAAGCATTCTGAAGAGACCGAAACAGGTGGAAATATTTAACACCTCCCAGCCAAGCTCTCTTAATTTTTGCTGAGAGGCTAAATATGTGTAAGATCTAGCGGTTATCGTGATGAAAAACCACACCCCTTCTGTTGATTAATTCCGGCCGCTTTCTCTCAACTTCTTGCTTTAATCTCATCAGTTATTCGCAGTAGAGTTCAGAATAGATGGTCCTGCGTGGTGGTAACAGCTCATAATGAATAATGCCCTTCCTATCCCACCACACACAGAGCATCACCTTTTAACCCGGGTTTCGCCACAGTCTGAAGCCTGACGGCCTTTGACCACCACCTTTTTCGCACGTTCTTGTCGTACGTGATCCACTTTTCATCGCCAGTTATTAGCTTCTTCAAAAATGGTTCGGTGGTTTCATTACGTCGTAATAAAGAATCACACGGTTCATTAGGATTCTTTCAGCGAGCTCGTGAGGTACCCAAATATCGAGCTTTTTTGTGTACCCAATTTTTTTTAAATGCGCCAAAAGTGTTTTATGGTCAATTCCCAGTTCTTAAGCTACGTCGTAACTACTGATTGCCGATCTTGCTTCACTTTTTCAAAAATAGCATCCATTTTATCCGTAATAGGGCGACCAGAGCAACGTGCAACTTTGACATCAATATTTCCGGATTGAAAACGCTTATACTACTCTCAGGGACACTGCAATAAACATCGCAAATTTTTTTCGCGGCTTGCGTTGCATTTTTATCTTTTTTGTAGTAAAATTTTAAAATGTATCAAATTTCTTAATTAGATTCACTCATCTTGACAGTACAAAAAATAAATAAAAATCACACATTTTCCTAATTTGAATTTGGAATTATCTTCTTTAAAATTTAAACTGTTAATGATACCAAAACCAGCCTGATACAAATAGTATAGCCAAAGAGATTTTATTACAAGTTCATACATAATATAATGCGAAAAGACTTTTTCCCCAACCTATGGAAATTCCAGTATCCAGTCTAATATCCGGCTTCGATATATTAATTGCCAAAAGTCGTGAACTCTAATCTTGACATGCGCAGAAATGCATTTTGGGTCTGGGGAAACGGGGGGTGCCTGCCATATAGATTACCTGGTTGGATCTTCCCGCATCGCGTCACATGTCATCAGTTGTGATTGGTTCCCTGTGTTGTGCACGTGCATCACTGCAGCAAACTGCACTTTTATCCCATTTTACTAACTTAAATTTTAAGTATATTATCTATGTTTATTAACCACACATTTTTTATCACATCTTTATTGAATTCTTCCAGGCACCAAACTATAAATAATGGACTTTGGATAAATGTACATTTAGTACCACAAGTACATGCTCCGAATTCCGTGGACGGTTAAGAGAATAAAATATACTGAACTGATTTGAAGTTTTTTTTTGTCAACATTATACTAAATATCCATTCTTTATTTGTCTCTGGGACAGTAGAGCCAAATCACGTCATTGGACTCAAAAAAAATGCCTATATGAAATGCTCTTGTTGTTGAGGAAAGAAATGTTATAAATGAACCTTTGGCTTAAAGAAAACACCATTCTTCCAGCATTACATACAAAATTAGGGCTTACGAAGCAATTTGTTGAGGCTCTCCACAAAAATGGTCAAGGTTTTCAGTTTATTTCACAGAAATGTTCTGGTTTAAGTACTGAAAAATTATAAGCAGGTATCTTTGATGGACCTGAAATACGTCAATTAATAAACAACACGACTTTTGAGACTTCTATGAATAATGTGGAAAGGCTTGCGTGGAAATCTTTTGTAGCAATTGTACAAAATTTTCTCGGAAACCATAAGGCTGACAACTACATAATATGTACAATTAGTAGAAGGCTGGTTCGATTCAAAAATTTAGGCATATGAGTACGAAATTACACTATCTCAACCGTCACTTAGATCATTTTCAACACAATTTAGGAGAACTAAGTGAAGAACAAGAAGAACCTTTTCACCAAGACATAAAAAACAATGGAGAATAGATACGAAGGAAGATTGGACACTCATATGATGGCCGACTACTGCTGGGGAATCATGAGAGTTTGTCCAAGTCACTTTGATTCGAGAATATCACTCAAAAGACAATTTCTCGATGTTTAATGCCAATAAAATATAATATAAATATATATTGTGAAAATTGTTTTTTTATTCATCTCGGAAACTAGAGTTGATAGAAAAAAACCAATTAGGTACAGTTTTGATATCACCACGTAAGACATTCTAAAATCCCCGGCACCAAAATGGTCGTAGGCCAATGCTATGAAACGATATCGTTGATAAGAATCTGAATTGTGGTCCTTTCTTGATACAGCAATTTCAATCCTTGTTTGTAATAAAATTTTAAATAACTTTAATGCTGTTAGTAAAAGTACATCGATTAAAAATTAATTTGTAAACTATTCTTGAGCTCTTAATTTCTTTTGTTAATTTTATTATAATGAAGAAAGGGCAAAATTGTTCCTTACATTATTTCAATTTTATTTTCTTTAACATCTATTGAGGCACAAGAAATTGAGTATGATGGTCGTATCGATGTATTTTTACAAGTGAAAGCAAGAAGAAGCATCAATTTGTGATTGATTATCCCAGCAATTTAATTTACTTTACTTTTTACCTAATTATTCAAAAGTTACATAGGATCCGTGTTGATAATTTCTTATCCTTTATATATTAAAGGACGACGAATTTCTTTTAGGTTTTACTAGAGTTCTTAGATATTTACTGCTACATCCTACTCTTATTTACAACAAGCAGGTCTGGTGATTGCAAAATACCCAAGGCCTCAACCAACACGGTTGCTAATTCCCGACACAATTCTTGATAGCTACTAGTGCCCGTATCAAGTCGGGACCTTTTTGCTTTCTGATACTTACATATGCCCACAGCATAATACATACAGAGCCAAAGTCCCTCCGTAGACCCAGAAGCTCAAAATGATTCGTGAAGGGATGATCGCTGATCCGAATGGCCCTCTTCTTTATGAGGTCTAATTGAAGTACCCCGTCCACGAAAAGATGGAATGGCCCCTCAGACTACCAGAAAACAGGTAGGGAAAAAATTATGAAAAGTGCTGGTATTTCGGAGCCCCGGCCCAAAGATGAAAGCAATAATTCACGCAGGGTGTTTGTCGAGACGTGAAGTACCGTCCCGCTCTGTTGAGAACTCCCTATTTATAATCTGTAGATAAAACGACATGCCGTTGATATGTCAAGATAAATACTGCCGCCCACCATGAGACGTGTTCGAGTTCTCTATTGAACTATGACATATTGAATCACTCTTATTAGAGTATGTATACCTACTGGGCGTCTTACGCATAAGGCGACTAATTCAGAATTACTTTTAATACAAATTTGTTAACGAAATTACAATAAAATTGGAGGAAAGAAGACCCAACCTTACGACTTCTTTTTGACTTCCGAGATTTCATAACTTAAGATTTAAATAAGAATTTTCATAAGAATCTCCAACCTCATTTTCGTTTCACATGATTTCTTCACAGTTTCAATTCCTCATTCGCGAAGCAATTGCTCTCGAGTTGTTAGGTCTCCTTCGGAGGCGCTCGGGCAGTTGTTAGCAAATCCCACCCCTCCTGGCTGAGCCTTTGCTCGCCCACCTGTCCTGGTGAAGCTGGAAAGGCCTCCGGGCCACCAGTAATCTTTCAATCATAAAAAAAAAGTTTCAATTCCACTTTCCTTCCTAACCTCATAGTGCCAATAGGATCAGAGTGAAATGGAATTAAATTATTATGGATATAATTATGTATATGACGAAACTATGGACCTTTAACATTTGGACAACTAGTAAAAAATAACACAATACTCTATATCAGTTTACGTAGAATGTTTGCCAACAAATAACAGAGCCAATTTTATTAACTTTACCTCATTGGTAAGTAGCTACTAAATCTTTTTTCTGGCATGAATAAATTTTAGTACAATAAGTATCCCTCACGAACAGTAAAAAATATTAAAGCTTCTCAATAAAACATACATGGTAAATAAATCACTTATTGTAAGCACAAAGGCCTTGGCCCAACTCAAGAGCTCTACATTATACTGCTTTTACAATATTAAATCTACCACCATAGGTAGATTTCAAAATTGTACCTAGACTTTATTCGAGCGTCTGCCCAGTTTCTGTTACTAGTATTCGTCAAATATAGTTGGGCGCCATGTCTGTCGTACATCCACAGTTTTCATTATTAATTTATCTCATCGATTACGTTCAGTAATGGGGCACGGCTTATTGAATGCGTCTTTTTGTGGCGCCTTTTTATTTGGAGATCGCGTCTAGAGCGGTCGAGACCCCGCCGCGATGGCATCCACGGTATGCCTAAAAGGTGACTCGTGGATAAATTACGGATATTTCATCCATTTTAATGATTCCCTTTATTATTTAATTTATTTTTATAGTATGTTACACATTTGGTTTGTAACAATGTTTGTTTTTCGGATTCATTAGCATAAGCTTCACGCTGTGTTAAAAAAGAAAACAGAAGGGCAGCCATCTTGATATTCCATAGATATAGTTTTTGATCTAACGGCTGTTATTTGTAAAGAGGTACACGTGTCAAATAAGAAAGATAGCGGGATGTCTTAATTCTGGGGCTATTTGTCGGCTTTATAGCAGACCGGTTGTGACGTAATAAAACAATAAATTTATTATCGCTCAGATGATACCGATCAGTTTATCGACGACGCACGGCTGGAAGTTAATAGTTGTATGTAACAAGTAATTATTATTAATTGTTTTTTGATGAAGTAGATGAAACGCACATTAAAGCAATTTTCCCATAAAGCTTTATCAACAGTAAATAATTTGATGTTTAATTAAGTATCAAAATGTCATTTTATCAAATCAACTGTTAGTATAGGTACATAATTCACACTGCCCAAGAAACTGTCTTACAGTTTACTACTCATCTTATTTATTTATTATTTTGTTCCTAGAGTTATTTTTCCGATAATTGATTTAATAAATACAGATTACAGAGCCAGTTCTCATAGCTAGCTGTGTCACAGACAAGGTTCGTAATTCAAACAACAATGCCTTTACGTCTATATTTTATTCTTAAATAAATTACGTAACGTCATAAAAAACAATTGGGTATCAAATAAAATACTAATAAACAAATACGTATTGAATATAATATTACATTATAACAAATTAAGATAATTTCAAACACAAGAATTACCTAGATTGGTGATTCAATAGTTATGTGGGACTAATTTATATAATCATCAGATAGTAGATTATCTTCTGTCAAAACAATAGAGGATACTACAAATAGGTACAAGTTCTTCATTTTTCAAGCAAAGTACAGTGGCAGGAATGATTCTCAAAAAAAAATGGATTGTAAATAAGTTCACAGGAATACATAATTGGAAATATAGCAGACCTTTCACATTTTCCAAATTAAACTCCCCATCACGAGCGTCAAACATTTGTGTAGATAAAATTAAAATGATATAAAAATTACATTACTAAAATAGAACGACATAACCGCTTTCGCAAAAAACAAAAAAACTCTTTGGTCATATTTTTTATATTTTTTTATGAGTACTATGATAAGTATTGATCACTGCGATTTCTATGAATGCGCACGTCTATTTAAGTTATAGTATAAGCCCTTAAGTTCTAATAGTTCGTGGTGTTTGCCCTTCTCGGCTATTCTCCCGTCGCTTACAACACAAATGCTGTCCGCATCACGCACGGTGCTTAGTCTGTGGGCAATCATCACGCAAGTTCGACCGGCTTTAGCAGCGTCCAATGCTTCCTGGACAACCTGAAAGTTACATTAAACGTGAAAATATATTTTAATCATACTTATGGATGTAGTTTAATAATATAAGAGACACCTACACTTAATATTTAGCGGTTTAAAAATAAAAGAACAGAATCTATACTAATATATAAATCTACAGTGTTTTTTTTTATTGCTTAGATGGGTGGACGTGCTCACAGCCCACCTGGTGTTAAGTGGTTACTGGAGCCCATAGACATCCACAGCGTAAATGCGCCACCCACCTTGAGATATAAGTTCTAAGGTCTCAAGTATAGTTACAACGGCTGCCCCACCCTTCAAACCGAAACGCATTACTGCTTCACGGCAGAAATAGGCAGGGTGGTTGTACCCACCCGCGCGATCACACAAGAGGTCCTACCACCAGTAAAGGTTTTTACGGATGTTCCGTTATAACTACTGACCCATGCATCCGATTGACTTGAAACTTGGTACCTAATGGATAGGCTGTTATATTTATATGAGTGTTGGACTCCCTAATAATAATGATAATAAATAATAATGACAATAAATAATAATGTTAATTTTAAATGCCCAGTGAAATGGGCGAGAACGGCTAGTAGATATATAATGATTTTCAATGTTATAATCTGTAACTTATACATATTTACTGTTGGTTATCGTAATAAATAAATTAGTTAATAGTTGAACAAAGAGCAAATAAACTTCATTAAGAGCCGCTATACGGCCACTATATGACTTGCCTATATCGGAAATAACTGTTCTTTGTCTGCTATTTAAAGCAAATTCATTTAACAATCCCGTCTATAAATTTGAAGATAAAATTTAAGATCGAGACTAATTTAAGTTGTTTCGTACGACTTTGTATTCCATGAACAGTATTACAGTTAAAATTAAGGACTAATTCAAGTTACTAAAATGTGAAAACACGATTAAACAAACATATTATGATATATTAATTTAACTTAAAAAGTGTCTTTCAAATCATAAAATAAACAGCTATAATACAGTAAGTACTTTCAATGAATTTTTTTTTTTAAATATAATAACTAAATCAAACTTTAGTAATAGCATATGACAATGTTGATGTTTTTTAAATACCCTCTTGTTATGTCAATTTAGAAAATATGCTATTGCGCTTTGGCAACATATTCAATCAGATCACTCCTGCTGTCAGGTTTAATCCTACTTTGTCTCTAGCTGAGTCTAGCTAGTCGAAAATGGGCCTTATGTCACTTGCGTTACGATATATGCGTGCGGTGAAGCCTGTGAGATCGAGGCATAAAGTTTCAGATTTTCTACATACCTTCTCGCTCTCTGTATCCAATGCGCTAGTCGCTTCATCAAGCAACAGCATTTTCGGTCGTCTTATCAAAGCTCTGGCTATAGCTATTCTTTGCTTCTGTCCACCAGACAGTTGAGTGCCTTTAGTCCCGATGTTCGTCTCGTATCCCTGAAAGTAAGTAACATAAATTATATTAAAGAGGCACTCTAAGGACTAGTGGGAAATTTAAACTCTTTAATTTCACTCCGGCACCCACTTAACAATAGGAGTCGGTGATCACGTACGCCTATCTAATTAATAAAAAAATACGATGGATGAAAGCCCATTTTGCCATTATTTATCATTGTTAGAAGGCGTATAGTTATACAACACATATAGGTGTACTTACCTGTAAAGGCAATCAACAAAGATTTTCGAATCGATGTAGAGACATCGTTATCGCCAATCTACAGATACTAAATTGAGAGAGATGAATCTAAAGATATTGGCGACATCCATCACGTGTATAGAGTTGATGGGCTCCGGTACCCACTACGGCAGGTGGGCAGTCAGTTGGTCTCCCTATGTATTATTCCATTCAAAAAATTAGAACATAATTACCAAAGGCAGCGAAGTTATGAAGTTATGTATATTGGCTTGCTTTGCAGCCTCGATAATGTCATCCATGTTGACTTTTTTTGCATTATTTCCATATGCTATGTTCTCCCCGATAGTTCTATCAAACAGAACTGGTTCTTGTTGTACGAATCCTATTGATTGTCTTGCGTTTGCGAGTGTAAGCTTAGGTAGAGGAATACCATCTTGAGCCTAAAGAAAAATAAAAACACTTGATAGAATTTATCAAAAATGATTTTATATAGTTATTCGTTCAATAGAAGTCGCAATGTGTAGTTTGAAAAATGTAGTTTTAGCACGTAATTACCAGGGGCATTGTACGCGCCCACAAGTAGGCCTAGCCTATCACCACCTTATTTATTTTGGCTGCGATGCAGTCATGCGTTCTCGTTTGAAGGTCGGGATCAATAGACAGAGCCCACTGGGTTTTTCGTGGGATCAATAGACACAGCCCAGTGGGTTTTTCGTCGGATCTTCTCAGCGGGTCGCGACTCCGACCCGACGGTATATTCTGCGAAGCACTGCTCTTGCTAGGGCTAGTGTTAGCACATTTTCTCAGGTTGAACCCGTGAGCTCACCTGGCCGTCTGCGCGTAGCTAGAATAGCCCCTTAGGCTACCAGCGAATAGAAGGGGAAAGAAAATAACGTTGAGAGAGCCGACAATACAATTCATACTTAGGACAAGGGTGAATTTTCAAAATAGCAAATTATCAATGTTATTCAACATTCAGTCTCAGAGTAACAACTTCGTTACTCGAACCGTACTTTAAAAAAAACTTTATACATTTGCTTAAAGCTTGTATGAAACAAAATAACACGAATATCATTCACAAGCTCACCGCCACCTGATATTGTTAGCGGAGCCCAGACATCTAAACGTCAATGCTTACAACGTAATATTAAATATAGAATTTAGTAATTACGCTAAGAATAATTTTGGTGGTTTTGATAAATCGTTATCGTGTAATAATAAGCATCGTGGAAGTCGTTAATGAATATGCGAGCTAATTACGTATTTCATTAGAAAAATACTTAGTACGTAGTAAGTAGTAAGTAAGCACTTAGCTCGGCCAAATAGTAACTACCTACTTAAACTACCGGCATCTCGTTTTTACCATCGCACCGCCCGCCACCGGAGTAGAGTTCATCCATACTACCTGGAGCCACTGCGGTCATCCACAGTGCGTTTCCAGAGATCTTTTTTGCCACGTACCATCCGGCTATGGAATGAGCTCCCCTCCACGGTGTTTCCCGAGCACTATGACATATCCTTCTTCAAACGAGGCTTGTGGAGAGTATTAAGCGGTAGGCAGCGGCTTGGCTCTGCCCCTGGCATTGCTGAAGTCCATGGGCGGCGGTAACCACTCACCATCAGGTGGGCCGTATGCTCGTCTGCCTACAAAGGCAATAAAAAAAAAAAAAAAAAAATAAAGGATTTGCAAGGTAAAAATAGTATCTGTATTTTTTATTCTTTATTTTGTTCACTGAGGAAAAAATATAAATAAACGCAACCAGTGCTTCCCTTTTAAAATGTTAATAACACTTCCATGAACTTACCACAATGCCGTCGTCAGGATCATAGAACCTTTGAAGAAGTTGAATGACAGTACTTTTACCACAGCCACTACTGCCGACGAGTGCAAATGTTTTTCCCTTCTCAATTTCCAGATTGAAATTCTTAAGCACCTGTATGGCTGGACGATTCGGGTATTTAAACTGAACCGCTTGAATGCTCGCTTCACCTGATCCACACTTTAAAACAAGTCCTTATTATGTTTTCATTACAGTTTAAAATCAAATATAAACAAACAGGCAAAGCAGGTGAAGCAATTGTGATTTATCAGATTGGACTCGTGTTGTCTTTTCGAGTACATAATATACTTGAAATAGACTAAGTGGTTAATAATAATGAAATACGGTTTTAATGTTTATGCAGTTCTCGTCATAACTGAACCAAAATAAATCAATATTTATAATATAGGATATACCATGCAATTTGTTGACGGATCGAAAAAAAAAAGCCTAGAATGTAAACAATCGTTTTTTGGCAGCAGTTACAAATTAAACATGATTTATTCATGTTTTTGGGACTTTTTTGTCCTGTGTGCAAGCAATTTACATTATAATCGATTGTAATGCGAAGATTTTTAGCATAGGAGATCTTCAAATTATATTACAAAAAAATATAATTCAGAGCTCAATATCACAATTACATGAAAACACAAGAAACCATTTTTGGTAAAAACAGATGGACCTTATGTTCTTCTTAAAGGTGAAGAAGATATATCTTATAAAATAGGACAGTATCTGAGAGTAAGCTCTTGACTAATGAGTCATGAAAAGTGTACTTCAAGATAATTCTGTTTTGAGTTTCGATGATGTCATTACAAAAACATGTTCTTCGAAAGAATGAACACGTATGTCATGTCATATGATCTCATAATGCAAGAGCAACTGCAGGGCAAATCTAATAGGTATGATGAACTTACGAAGTCCTTGGTTACTGGTTCGTGAGGATCGGTAATTTTAGACTCTCTGTTTAGCAATGAAACAACTCGTCCTGCTGCCTTGATTCCCTTTTGGAAATTGGGCGCAAAAGCGAAAGCCTGTGCTGCAGATGAAGCACCTAACAGAAGAGCTTGGGCAGACCTGAACATAAATATTGGCTAATCACGATTTAATTGTATGTACATCTTTTTATTACGACACGTTTAAAAAAATAAAATATTTCTGAACGATTAAACAAAACCACATACTTAAATACAACTTCATATTCGATTTTTTCATACACTATAAGAGTACCACCGTAGTACAGAGATGCAGCAATAACGAAGTTAAATAAAGATCTTGAAAGTCCAAAGACAACACCACGCCAATGCGAAGCACGCTTTGCTGACAAAAGTGCTGGCAATAACTGTATTATATAGTCTTGTAAGATTTTCGTTTCTCCACCCAGCGAGGCTACTGTTCGTACATTAGCCACTGCCTCTACCGCAGTCTGAAAAAGTGTATGGATTACTTCATAGTTCTTTAAAAAAGCTAATGCGTCACAATAGTTTTTGAAATACCTTTGAGCTAGCTTCCATTGTCTTCGCAGTTCCGAAGGATTCCGCGTAGGCCATCCTTACTTCTTTATACAGTACAAAAACCAATATTGGAATAAACGTTAAAGCAACTAGACCCACTCGCCATTCGTACACTAAGGAAAGTACCAGAGCAAAACCAAATGTCCCGATTGCTTGCAATACAGTACCGATACGCTGCCCTGTGGCCTATGAATGAAATATTTAATTACAAACTATAACTCGTGTAAGTAAATATTGTTCATGAATATATTTCAAGCTTAATGTGTGAACTTATATTTTAACATACCCCTTGTACAGCAGCTGCTTCACCCGACAATCTAGCGCACAGTGCTCCAGTTGTGTTGTTCTTGTCGTCATAAAATGCGACTTCTTGTTGAAGGAGTTTTTCAAACATCATCTTTCTCAAACGTTCCGTTAGATGTTCCCCAGCAATGGCGTACAAAAATACCTTTTCATATAAATAAAATCATTTGTTAATTGAAAGATTACATCAACTACCTATCACTTTCGTTTTTTTATTACCTACTAGCTGACCCGGCAGACATCGTTGTGCCTCGATCGATAAATAAAAGACCTAAGCTTTTGTATAAAATAAACTTAAAACAAACAAAAGGAATCCGTCCGACGGGGGACACATCAAAACCAAATTGTTATTTTTATTTAACTCCGAGCATTTTCATATTTATCTACTTTTTAAACCTTCTCTGGACTTCCACAAATAATTCAAGACCAAAATTAGCCAAATCGATCCAGCCGTTCTCGAGTTTTAGCGAGACAAACGAACAGCAATTCATTTTTATATAATATATAGAGATTAGTATATAAAACTGAAAAGTCAACTTACCATGGTGAAATTAGCAACGCCAGAATATAAGCCTATGCCAACGAATATCAACGCGAAACGTTGTACCTCTGCTAAAACTTTTTCTTCGTCTGGATTTGAAAGTATCTATAATAACAAAATAAATAAAATTCGATGTAGATCTAAATTTCATAGTTTCTAATTTTAATACACAAATATGTTTTAAAATCTTACCCCAATAAAATCACCAAAGATTACTGCGATGAGAGGCATGGCAAATCCACTAAGAAAAGCGCAAAAACTGGCTAGAGAAACGGATTTCCATTCTGGCGAATTTAAGCGGACTACTCTCCAGAATGACACATCAGTTGGAACGTCACTGTGTTCCTCAACACCCTGAAAATTCCAAATATTCATGAAAAATACTTAAAAACCCTAAGAGATTACTTGAAAATTTATCAATACGTTTGCTTAAACTTACATAATTTTTTAATTCTATAATGTCGTCATCATCGTTTATATTCAAATTAGATATTTTTCGAGACAGCCGACTTTCGTTGTCTGTAATGAATTTGTATTATCTTATTGAGCTTATCATAAAAAATATTTCATTCACAATATTTTTTCATATATTCATACTTTCGTATATCATACTTTCGTATTCGAAGATATACGAGCACATATATAATATTAGGGGAATATTGAAACGACTTAGAACACTTTGCCTCATCTCATTATTACTATGGGAAAAACGGTTGAAAATTTTTATTCCTGTAATGGATGCTGTAGTGGAGGCTGCGTCAGTAAAATGATAATGAGGAGATCATTTCAACTAATTAGTCAAAGTGCTCCCCGTTGTACATCATATACACTGCTGCCCACTGCTGGACATAGGCCTCCCCCAAAGCTCGCCACTGAACCCGATCTTCGGTTCGACGCATCCAGTTACTGCCAGCTGCCTTGCGCAGGTCGTCGGTCCATCTAGCAGGAGGGCGGCCTACACTACGTTATCCGGTTCGCCGTCTCCACTCCAGAACACGTCTTCCCCAACGGTTATCGGTTCTGCGACATATGTGACCAGCCCACTGCCACTTCAGCTTACTAACTCTGCGAGCTATATCGATCACCTTGGTTTTTGTCTGAATGACTTCGTTACTCGGTCTACTCGGACTAGATTATTCATTGTTCGGTCTCACAATGACAAACCAAGTATAGCTCGCTCCATAGCTCGCTGAGTAACCTTTGGTTGGTGGACCAGTCGCACGGTTAGCGTCCACGTTTCGGCTCCGTAGGTAAGCACGGGTAGGAAGCACTGATTATAGACCTTTGTCTTCAGACATTATGGCATGGACAACGAAAAGACCTGACGAAGCTTTTGTACATACGGTGCAAAATGAATAAGAATGAAAAACAGTTCCTTTGTAGACTGAAAGTTTCGAAGCGATGGGACACCTCCTTAGTAGTATTTAACCAAAAAAAGCCTTTTAAATCAAGAAAATATACGGCATTTTTAATGATACCTCCGTTATTGTCGTCATCCTCCTCACTTCCAGGGAACGTTTGCAGCATTACCATATCGTAGTAATGTCCTTTTAACTTCATCAATTCATCGTGGTTGCCAGTCTCAATTACAGAGCCCTCTTTGAAAACGTAAATAACATCAACATTTCTGATAGTTGAAAGTCTGTGTGCCACTACAATTGTTGTGCGACCTTCTTGGGCCTTGAAGAAAAAGGTTCATACTTAGTATCATCATCATTGTCCTGCCCTTCTCCCAGTCACCTGGGGTCGGCGCAACATGTTTTCTCCTTCCATACTCTTCTATCATATACCATTTCTTCGCTCACTCCCCTCCTACCCATTCTTATATTCATACTTAGTATGTATTACTTAAAAAAATCTAATGAGGCAAACACCAACTATCACCCCATTTATCCTTCATATATCTTTAATTCGTTCACATTATGAACGTTTCCACTAATTCCTTTTCTGATCTTTCAACCTATGGCCAAAAGGGGTATATTAAGACTACAATCTGGATTTATGTAACGCTCGCCCCGAATAATGGAAGGATAAGGACGATTAGGAAAATATCCTTTATTACTTACTTTATCTAAAGCCTTTTGTACTTTGGCTTCAGATGACGTATCTAGAGCGCTCGTCGCTTCGTCTAGGAGGAGAATAGGAGGATTTCTGACTAAAGCACGCGCTATAGCAATCCTTTGCTTTTGTCCACCAGATATCGAAGCCCCTCTTTCACCAACCAGCGTATCGTAGCCCTGTAATCAACAAATTATATTGCAGTTAAAAAAAAAATTTTGAATCATAACTACTGCTTAAATTATTTACTTACATTGGGAAGTTTCATGATGAATTCGTGAGCATTTGCCTGCTTTGCTGCCGCTTCGATGTCTTGATCTGTAGCTTCCTCGCGACCAAAGCGAATGTTTTGGCGAACTGTCATGTTAAAAAGCGCAGGCTCTTGACCGACCAGACCAATCTGAGACCGAAGCCAACGAACAGACAGTTGACGAACATCATTACCATCAATGCACACCTAATTAAAAATGAGAGGTTAGACTAACGTAATCGTGGTCTACAGGATAAAACGTCCGGTGCATCCGTGTTGAGCGATGCACCGATGTTCGAATCCTGCGGTGAAGGAATAACATGGTGTAATAAAAATGAAACCCGCAAAATTATAATTTTCGTAATTACTGGTGGTGGGACCTCTCGTGAGTCCGCACGGGTAGGTAATACCGCCCTGCCTATTTCTGCCGTGAAGCAGTAATGCGTTTCGGGTTGAAGGGTGGGGCAGCCGTTGTAACTATACTTGAGACCTGAGAACTTATATCTCAAGGTGGGTGGCGCATTTACATTGTACATGCCTATGGGCTCCAGTAACCACTTAACACCAGGTGGGCTGTGAGCACGTCCTCCCATCTAAGCAATAAAAAAAATTTATTCTCATTGCTAGATTGTCAAGACGTTTTCATGACTAACCTTGTAATTAAAGGTTAGCGAAGCTCATGTAATACCCTGCATTTACGATCTGTCACTTGGCCAGAATTTTTGACCTAATATTTTCCTGGCCATTAAATAAGCGACCTCTGTTTTTTTGAGATAATGCCGATTTCTCTTACTATCTATTTATAAGAGCAGGATCTTTATATATTTTTCTAGATTTCATACACTATATACTTACTATTACTATTTAAAATTTTAGGTACCGGGTTAGAGAACTTAGTAATAATTAATGAAAACCATCGTCCTGTCCATTTCTCTGTCTATGGACTCTGTTAATCCAGTAACCGAATGTTTCAACTATGCATATGACAATATAGCTTATCATACATGAAAGTTACATTTAGTGTAAGTAATATTCACATAATCGCAGCTTAGTAATGAGTAATGACGCATGCGATCTGAACTTTAGAAGATATCTGAACTTCTCTACTACTACAAACTCACCCTACACAAATAGAAAATGGTATTTTTTGCATCATTAGGTCATCGCCCGTTTATAATTGACTATACCGTAAAAATACTACACATTATCAAAATGTCAATGATAGAAAGAGGATTAGGAGATTAAATTATCACGAAGTCATTACGTGAATACCTACTGGGGGTACGTGTACTGGTGGTAGGACCTCTTGTGAGTCCGAAAGGGTAGGTACCACCACCCTGCCTATTTCTGCCGTGAAGCAGTAATGCGTTTCGGTTTGAAGGGTGGGGCAGCCGTTGTAACTATACTGAGATCTTAGAACTTATATCTCAAGGTAGGTGGCGCACTTACGTTGTAGATGACTATGCGTCCAGTAACCACTTAACACCAGGTGGGCTGTGAGCTCGTCCACCCATTTAAGAAATGAAAAAAAACACGTGTTTTTTTTTGCAAGAATTTTATAAAAAATACTTTAAAAAAAATATAGCCATGCATATACGTAAAGGTTTCAAGTAGTTCTTGAACAAAAATAGCATAATGAATTGTTGTTCAAATCAAATATAAAACTCCGTAAAAACTGTCCGGGATCAAACAAGACACAATCTACATTTTGGGAAACTAATAAGAATCAAAATAAAATAAAAATAGGTCTACATAATAAAAAAAGTAACGAATAGATAAAAAAAAATACAATTAAACGAGACATCCTGCACTAAGGATTACAAATTGATTTGGTAGCTTATCGGATTGCACGAGTCTGCTCGTGACAGCGATAAATAAATTTGAATTCGATAAATTAAATTAAATGCATGAGCCGTTATTTTTTTGTATATATAACTTTTTGAAAACACTAACATTTTTGTTGTAGAAAATCCATAATTACACTGTTTCTCAGTTGGTAAAAATACTAGAAGTACATTGTGCACCAAGGGAGAAAAAAAAACAATTTAACTGTTTTTTAATTTTTAAATAAACTACTACTAATTGAATAAGAACTGTCCGATGAACTCATCTTTGCTTAATATTTCAGTATTAAATTTTATTGCATCTTGTTTATTTAAATTTTACACTAAACACAACATTGCAAATTACCCAAGCACAATAATGGCGGAGAATTTTAGGTGCGTGAGAGCAGACGTAGACACTAAAGGCGAATTTACATTACGAAATTAGTGGCATGAAACTAATTTCGTGACATTAGTTTAACAACAGTTTACCAACAGTTCGTAATGCATGCATTAATTTCATGCATGCAAATTAGTTTCGTGCCCTGCCCGATTTTTTGGGGAAATTAGTGTCATGCAACTAATTTCATAGTGTAGACGCGACGTGAAACTAATGTCGCGAAAGGGCCTGCACTGTGCGGACGTATGTATTGTTAGTTCGGACGCGCTTCAAGCGTTGAAAATGGCAAACCAACGATGGAGTACAGAAAAATAAAATAGATCTTATTAATGAATATCAGCGACAAGGGTGTCTATGGGACCCGAAACACCTACAGTAAAAAATCAAAATTATCTTCACTCATTCGAAAATAGTTTTTATTACTCCCAGGATCTTCATCTGCTAATTCAGAGACTAACTTCATTGCACCTAAATGCCTTCTTGTTGACCATCCTCAAATCTACCAACTTTTTTTTTTCTTGATCGCCGTTTTTTAAGTTCATAGGTATATAAGCATTTCTTTAGCTACATTGAATACAGCAAAATATAGCTTTGACGCTGACGGCGCCATGGTTACTGCGATACTGTGGATTTCGCGACACTAATTTTTTTACGAAATTACTTTCGCATATATCGAAACTACTTTTGTAAAACTGAGCTCAACATGCATGACACTAATTTCGTAATGTAAACTCCGCATAACGCGCATGCGCACTTGTCAGTACCCAGGTAGGGAAAGTTAGACTTTCTTTCCTGTACAGCGGGAGGAAAACCGAACTTTAGGCGTAGGTAGGAGAAAAAATACTTACATTTCCGTCTATAACATCATAATATCTAGATATGAGTTGTATGATCGTTGACTTTCCACATCCCGAATGTCCAACAAGCGCGACAGACTGCCCTCTTTTCACCCTTAGGTTTACGCCTTTGAGTACCTGAATTCAAATAATGACAGATTGTGAGATGACTCTTAACTTTTCTCGAACTATCCATAACTTACATAAAAACCTATTATTACTCTGGGGGAGCAAAAGTGATGATAAGACAAGATTGAAGTTATTTTTATTTATTTATTTTTTATTGCTTAGTTAGGTGGACGAGCTCACGGCCGAACTGGTGTTAAGCGGCTACCGGAGTCCATGAACATAAATGCCGCCACCTATCTTGAGATATAAGTTCTAAGGTCTCAGTATAAGTTTCAATCAACCAGTACGAACGATTTGTTCGCATCGGAAACCTACAGAATAGGAAGTATGTAACTCAGGAAGTAGCCCAAATAAGTCATCTGTCTTAAAAGTCTGGAGTTCCGATATTAGATTAGATTTTAGATCGTCGGAAAGGGACAGGCGATTGACAAGACTGATTAAAAAATTTAAGTCCATCATAATTTGACGTCAACTTTGAAGTTTATTTTATTTTATTTTATTGCTTATATGTGTGGACGAGCTCACAGCCCACCTGGTGTTAAGTGGTTACTGGAGCCCATAGACATCTACAACGTAAATGCGCCACACACCTTGAGATATAAGTTCTAAGGTCTCAAGTATAGTTACAACGGCTGCCCCACCCTTCAACCCGAAATGCATTACTGCTTCACGGCAGAAATAGGCAGGGCGGTGGTACCTACCCGTGCGGACTCACGAGAGGTCCTACCACCAGTAGATGAGTAGTTGCAACATAGCGATGTTCTACAAACATACATATACCTACATGTATGCTTGTTTAAACATGTATACCGAATGCTATTAAGTTCAGTACCTAGATAATATTGATCAGTTTAGTATTCTGATGTAAGATAACAGCGCCCTGGCTATAAATGTGAATCAGCACGATATGAAAATTGCTTTAATATTATATAAATAGTAGATTTTATGATTTTATACTTTCAACCAGCTGTACTCGACCGCTTCGCTGGGCATTTAAAATGAACATTATTATTTATTGTCATTATTATTAGGGAGTCCAACACTCATATAAATATTAGCCTATCCATTAAGTACATGCATTTACTACAAGGGTACCAAGTTTCAAGTCAATCGGATGCATGGTTCAATAGTTATAACGGAACATCCGTAAAAACCACTGTCGATTTATATATTACGTTTAGATCATGCTACTACTTTTACTAGCGTTAGGGCGTTTTGTAATTTCACCGGGTCAGATACCATCATCCAGCCAACTTCTGCTGGGAAGCTGTAGTGTCTACCAGTTTGAAGGGTGGTGTAGCCGTTGTACCATAAAAAATTGTCTTAGAACTCATGCCTCAAGGTAGGTGGCCCAAATTACGTTGTTGATGTCTATAGACTTCAGTAACCCCTTAAATACAGGATCGTATCGCGTTCATTCATCTAAGCAATAAATAAAAAACATACTAGAACAGTCAAATATCAAACTTACTGGTACATCAGGTCTAGAAGGATAATGGAATACCACATCTTTTAACTCAATGTTACCATCAATGGATGGCGGCGTGACTCCGAGATTCCGCAATGGGTTAATTATTGGTACATTATCAATTAAATTAAAGATTTGGGCACCCGCACCGCGGGCTCCACCGAACACTTCCATTAGGGTTGATGATACACCGAAATTAGCGGATCCGGTCATTACACCAAAGAAAACCTGTAGAACAACTTTCAAGATTATTAAATTCCTTATTAACCCTTTGACTACCGTGTAGGTCACCGGTACCCTACGTGGCGCAATGAAGTATTTTTTTTTATTGCTTGGATGGTTGGACGAGCTCACAGCCCACCTGGTGTTAAGTGGTTACTGGAGCCCAGAGACATCTACAACGTAAATGCGCCACCCACCTTAAGACATAAGTTCTAAGGTCTCAGTATATTTACAACGGCTGCCCCACCCTTCAAACCGAAACGCATTACTGCTTCACGGCAGAAATAGGCGGGGTGGTGGTACCTACCCGCGAGGACTCACAAGAGGTCCTACCACCAGTAAAAATTATGTCGATTTCTGTTGTTACTATGGCGCCGGAGTATCTAGTAGACTCTGGGAAAGACTAATTAGAAGATACTGAGAATAAATGTATTTCTGAGAAACCTAAAATACTAAAACATACATTAAAAACAAAGTTAGGCAATCCAGGCGCGTAGTACCTAACAGAAATCGACATAACTACTTCAGTGCGCCACGTAGGGCACCGGTGACCTACATTGCAGCCAATGTGTTAATATTATAAATTTCTTTTAATAAGTGTGAACGATTATTGATACAATATTGAAATCTTCATAGCCTAAGTGACGGTTGCGATTGATCCAATATTATTCGATGATTACTACAAATAAACGAATTAGTCCAGTGTGTGATGATTGTACAGTGATTTTTAAGATTACTCGCGATTTTTCGACGACCTCTGAATGAAATATCTATGCTTAGCTATGCATACCCGTGTAGCGCTACGCATTTTTTCCCCTACCTATGCTGATAGCCCTGAGAGGCTATATCAGATTCTCCTTGACGTGGAGGTGAGCTCACGGGCTCAAGCCGGGTGTGTGGCTAACATTGGCCCTAACAAGAACAGTGCTTCGCAGAATCTACCACCGGATCGGAAACGCGACCCACTGTGAAGATCCAGCGAGAAACTCAGTGGGCTGTGTCTATGGGTTAATTCACTCGTCGAAACGGTACGCACAGTGTATTAATATTGCACAATTAATACTACTTGTGTCTTGTTCGTTTTCTGTCGATTATATTTATCAGTTAGGACAACCTCAACAATTCTTTTAATAGAAATATTCAATAACTATTTTAATTATTCTTAGCGTAACTTTAAAGACATCTAATTTTAATAAATATACAAATTATCAGTATTTTGTTTTCCTATCTAATCTGTACAAGATTTAGAAATCTTAATTGGTAAAATCATGTTAAATTTATCACTTACTGCGATCATTGTTGATACATCATAATTCTCTGGTTCGTCAACCATAAGTCTGTAGCCGAACCAGAAGGATAATGCGTACGCACAGAATATACAAAAGAAAAGGAAGCCCATAGCGAGACCGTTGAAAAGACCTGAAACATGATTCGGTATTCAATACTGCCCTATTAACCTTTGGCCCATTATGTTCTTTTTTTGTCGATTTTCTCTTCAAGCCAAAACGCATCATTGCTTCGCCCTCAAAATACGCAGGGCTCACAGAGCTTCTGAATAGCAGTGATTATGAAAATTATGCAATTTAATTGGACTGATTATTATTATTCTTTGAAAGTTGATCGTTTGCTAATTCGACGGGTAAAAAAACGATAGTGCTCTCCTTTGATTACGATAGGCACTATTGAAAAACAGTTTTACCTTTCTGAATATTGATCTTTCTCGCCTCTATAAGGTATTTTTCATATCGTTCGATTTCCTTTTGCATGCCCGTAAACGCGTACACTGTTCTAATAGACGACAACACTTCTTCGGCGATCGCTCCGGCCTTACCGGACGCTATTGCTTCTTTCTTTGATAGCCTTGAAGCCACCTGCGATACATTTTTATTTAATAAACCTCACCATATCAAAATATAATAATGGTGTAATATACTATCATTTTTATTTGTTACTTATCCAGAAATAAAAGATAACCAACTGACAATCCTAACTGTTGAATCAGAAGTAGCTTTGAATTAGGTCATTGTCCTTTGATTAGGGTAGCCACACTAAAGAAATTTAATCTGAAATTTAACCCGAAATGGGTGCTGAAGTATGCACGAAGAAACAACATTTTTTTTTAAATTATAGATACATTTGTTTACTCTTAAAAAGCACAGTTGTACATAATTATAATGAAAAATACAAAATTACAACTCCTAAATCGACCTGAATCGATAGCTGTGTACCTACCAGTCCAGCTACTCCAACAAGTGTCATTGTAACCGGAAATGATATCAGACAAAGGAGGGCCAGCTTCCAGCCTTTTATAAGCGCCATGATAATTGAACTGATGAATGAGCACTGGTAAAATATGAAAGTGGCCAGCTTTTCACCAATGCCATCTTCTAATTTCAGTATATCGCTAAAACAAATAACGTACAAATAATTCAAATTCGTAACTAAATTAACACAAGATTTCTTAACTTCATAACGGAAAATGATTCCACAGGATAGTTTAGAACAACTTTGATAGGAACAATCTCAAAGATAGTTCCGATAGCTTATTAATCTTGTCAAGAGGAAAGTGTAGAAAAAAATGAAGTTTTGCGTTATGATACCCTTTTCCTACCTAATCGCTAGTAGTCTAACGGACTATTACACTTATACAGACGGTTTGGTAGGTGAGGATTCGACCTAGGAGGACTTGGTAACCTTAGCAAGAGCAATGCCTCGTTAAATATACCATCGAATCGGAATTGCGACCCACTAAGAAGATCTGGCAAGAAACTCAGTGGGGTTGTTTGTTATTACTATTCACGCAAAAAGCTATGCTATTAAGTTTTTTAATATGTTTAACTACCTGCCTATCACTATTAAAATTTTTCTTAACATTAATACCTACAGACCTGTTTATCTTGGTAGCTATATCCCCAGTTTTATGGATATCAAAATACTCGAAATCCTGGTTCAAAGCTGCTTTGAGATATTCTTGTCTTATTTTATATACCTAAAACGAAACAATAATTTGAATCTTAAATCACTAAGATGATAATAGATAAAACTATAGTACAAAAACATGAAATGTGGAATATTGGAATGTTGCTAATTACTGGTGGTAGGACTTCTTGTGAGTCCGCGCGGGTGGGTACCACCACTACCCTGCCTATGTCTACCGTGAAGCAGTAATGCGTTTCGGTTTAAAGGGTGGGGCAGCCGTTGTAACTACACTTGAGACCCTAGAATCTCAAGGTGGGTGGCGCATTTACGTTATGGATGTCTATGGGCTCCAGTAACCACTTAACACCAGGTGGGCTGTGAGCTCGTCTACCCATCTAAACAATGAAAAATAAAAATTGCTTTTGACGTAAATTACTTTTTACACAAATAATGATAAAGTATAAGTATTAAGTTGTATATATTCACCTGATTATATGCAGCGATATTCATTAGTACCGTTGCGATATAAGTGAAAATGACCAATAGTATGCCTATGATAGAATTATACAAGGCGAAGTAGAAAAGTGATTCCAAGAATGCGTCTCCATTTGGATTCTCTTGAACTACGGAGATGCCAAAATCCACCATGCTTTGCAGTAAGTCAGCTAATAACAGAGTATTCAATGGTGTGGAACAGGCTGCCACAGCCGATGATACCAGGGCTATGATAATATACAAAACATCTGTTGTAGTGGCGAAACGAAACTGCAAATAAAATGTCATTTTTCAACGTTCTATTGAAATGTATTCAATATTAATTACTTCAACATTATTTGAGTCGTCTATTATCAAAGGTGGCAATCTGTGCATTTGGACAAAAAAATGTTGTTGATATGTCAATACAGATTGATTTGAATAAAATCGTCTCCTTCAAAGAATACGGTTCAAAACCTGCATTAAATAAAGGTTAATACTTAACCTGCTATTTATCTAAGATGTCATTCAGAAGAGTTTTGTGACTGCCAATGGAATACAAAGTCAATAATTCGTTTTACTGATTTACCAATAATTGTCCAAAAGTCACATTGCCGGCTTTGATAATAGTCGACTCATTTGTAGGGTCAGTAATAATTTAGACTATTTTTAATAATACATTACAATACATTAATAGTAACTGAAAACGTTATAAAATAATAATAATTTATGTGATAACAGCACGTTCACGTGATTAGAAAATGTACCATATATTAATATAATAAAGATTAACAGATTATTTAAAACGACATAGTATTGAATAGCATTAAATTTTCGAATATAAGTGCTGATTTGTTTATAAAACAATTGTACTTACCAGTGTGAAAAATGATATGCTCGGTACATCATCTTTGGCGTTTTTTTCGGAACTATGAAACAGAATTAAAATACATCTATACTAATATTATAAAGGGGAAAGATTTATTTGTTTGTATTTAATAGGCTCCGAAACTACTGAATCGATTTGAAAAATTCTTTCACCGTTTGGAAGCTACACTATTCCCGAGTGACATAGGCTATAAACTTTTTTGAAAAAAATTAGGTATCTTTACTAAAACTCCAATAATGTAACCCAAGGGGTAAAACTACCTTCTTAAAAAATTATATTTAATTAATTAAAATACGTCAAATATCATTGAAATTTTTTTTTTACCGAGCGAAGCCGGAGCGGGCCGCTAGTATGTAATAAACTTAATGTTAATTTGTGGGGTAATTGATTGTTTGCTACTATGTATTCCTATATACCTACTATTACATACGTTTTGCTAACAGGTCACTCCATATATTTTGTAGTATGTTTTTCTCCGTCTAAGGTTACGTCTATATTTTATTGGCACTAAATTGTGATCAATTGACGTCAATTAACAAAATGCGTTTGCGTCTGTCTCATAATACGTCGCAGGCGTCTGATGCCTTAATGTTACCAAATATAAACTCAAAATTCAAAAATTTCTTTTAGGCTGATAATTGGGGTAATCAAAATCGCCTTAATTAAATAGTTTCTCAAAAACTTGACTTTATTATTTTAGGTCTAAACTAAATAAGTATACTTGAATCAGATAAATAAAATTCATGAGAGTCATTAAATTAATTTTTCATTGTTAAGACAATTATCATTATTGTTTCAAGAAGATTGTTGAGGAGAAATTAAACATAGATATAATCGTACTTTAAGTATGTACCGATAAAATATGAAGGCCATTGCATCCCAAATTCCTTAGTCAACAAGATAATTTGATAATTTTGTACTGCTGCATTTGACTGCAAATTATCTTATTGAGTATCAAATTACGAACAATTGTTTATTTAAAGTAGTGCTGTATAACTATTTTAAATCTACCGCCTAGAATGTACATTTGCAATAACCCACACATTTGTATGATAAAATGCTTATGAACTATTTCTATACTACATTCGCCTTGGAAATGCTTCTTTGATGTCATACGTTACAATATCACAAGTGCATGCTTACGAGTGTAGCATAATATCAAGCCGTTAGGAATCAATACACAAAGTCAATGAATATTAAAACATTATTAAAACAACTAAAATTTACCGACTGCTCATGGTAGCAAGGATGAGATCTAATAATGTATTGTTTAATTGCAATCAGCAACAAGCGAATACCAAATAAAACCAATTACACCTTTTTTAAATATAGATGTTAACAATTTATTCTTCTTTATTCAACTATTTAATTAAGCGTTGTATATTTTTAAGACAATACAACTCACCTATCAGATTGCTTTCTTTTTTGATGATCGCCATCAGAGAAACCGCTGACTTTATATTTGTTTTTGTCACCGCCTAGGCCAGGATCCCAATTGTCTTCTTTGATTTCCTTCATGATCACGAAGCAACTATATAAACGTTGATTAAACTCAGTCCTTAGAGACTATGCATAAACAAAATGCTCTACGGAGGTTGATAACTAAATTTTCAAACCCAATACTCGACTGAGCCGAGCGTGAATAGACTAGTCTACATGATAGTACTTATCAATTTATCATTCTGATAAACAAGCGAAAAAATCGAATATTTTTATATTACATGTAACGATCGACTCGATACAAGGATTTCGGTCACAGCACGGAACGAATCTATTTTTAGAATAAATTCTAGGGTTAGTTTTATTTTTTGGAAAATTCTAAGAACGTTAAAATTCACATTCAAAACTATTCAATTTGAAATTACAGAAAATGTACGTACGAATCTCACGGAAAGAAAATAAATATCTAATTCGTTGGTAATCAATTAATACAAATGCACAATCCAGTAACCTATACTTTAAGAAGCTTTAAGGTACCAAAGAATGTAAAACATGTCCGTTACCTACACAATAATGTCATATTTCAATATTAAAAGGTAAATAACGCATCATATAAACGAAACTAAATCAAAATTGAACTGTGTGTATTCAAATAACCTATCAGAATTTTACCGCATGTTTGCGTCATGACTCAATCTATCTTGTTCAAACATCAATCGATAGATAAGTTAATCTTCCACAAATATTTTAATTCGGACGATTTTTCTAGTTCTAAACACGTGGAGATGAATTACCTATTCGATTTCTATAGGAAAAAGCGACGTCAATTATATATAATAATAGCAAAATTGAAATGAAAATTACGTAGTTTTTAGTTGATTAATATCCAGCAATGTAATATAAGATATCACGCCTGTTCTTGTTCACCTGTAATTGAACAAGATCGTTAATATAAATCAAAACTCCCGCGGATTATATTGTTAGACAGTGCAATTGATTAAAAACTTTACAAAACAAATATTATTAATTCCGTGCAATACAAAACTAACTTAAGTTAATTAATATGTCAGATGTACAAATTTATTTGATTTATTAATTTATAAATTACCTCAATGTTATAACTGCAACAGTTCACACTGTATTTTATTGATTTACACAATTGCTTATATTATATAATAATCTATATATTGTTTAAATCAAACGTATCAGAGTAATATAATTTAAAACCGAATATCACAAGACACACAACTAGGAAGTATTAAAATTAATTCTACATCTTAAAGACAACAATGCTGTTTATATAATAACCTGCACTACTCAATTAAAATAGTTGCTTTAGTATAACGTGAACCAATTGAAAAGACCATTATCATAATGGGTTTCACAATCAGAACTAGTCGTACATTTATAGATCTAAATTTTGAATTCAAACTTATTCCATTAATATTTTTAAATACACCCGAACGTAGATTGATCGGGATTATGTATTGTCGGATCCCCCGAATCCTTTCTCGGTGCTTTTAGGGCCCTCACGCACCGGTCACTGTCCTCATCGAACTTATTGATTACGTTAAAGAGTTCGACGAGCAAAATAACCCATAGATAGACACAGCCCACTGAGTTTCTCGAAGGATCTTCTCAATGGGTCGCGATTCCGATCCAGTGGTAGATTTTATGAAGCACTGCTCTTGCTGGGGCTAGTGTTAGCAAATTCTCTCAGGTTAAGCCCGTGAGCTCACCTACCCCTCCGGGCGTAGCTGAAATAGCTTCACAGGCTACCAGTGAATAGGTAGGGAAAAAAAAGATTCGGATTTGAATATAAAATTTTGATTATTGTCTATTTATGTTCATACATGTACTCGTAGTAAAATTAGTTTGGACTGGTTTGAATATCGTAAAAGAATGTGAACGATTTGAAAAATCTGAAACATATAAACAAAACAGTCTTTTTCAGTTTATTATAAAAAACAAAACAAAAAACTACGTCACTGGCTGCTCCTGTTACTAAGCAATAGCTTAAGTTTACGTAATTAATGCCTTGAAGCCGAGTGAATGCACACGTCCACGATAATTTATGGATGCGTTTTGTTTGGTGTCTTGACACGGTGGGCTCATAGATCGTTTCGCTATTATTACGTACAATATTTGTTTCCTAAACAAGACATCGGGTGCAAGTATTGTTAAGAAATCCCTATTCTCTGAACTTTTTGTATGTTCTTATACATTTTGTAACAAATACTCAGTCACATTTTATTCCGGAACTGATTTTGAGTGACAGATGTGTAGAATTAAATTGCATAGAGATGCATTTATAAAGCTTTTTGTTTCAAAAAGATTTTCTATGTTTCTTTGTTATTTATGATTTTTTTTTCTTGTCTGTATTATTAATAACACATTATTACACATTATTAATAATTTTGCAATATGTCATTATAAATTTTTGACGTCACGGTTTATTTATCAGAGATCTAGTTTATGCAAAAAATACTCTATAATTAATTACATCAGTCGTTTATTGTCTCTTTGTTGAGGTCTTGATAATTGGACTATAATTTGTAGATCGATTACTTTATTTAAATGTCATATTTTCGTAAAATGGCTGCACAGAAATCAATAATAGTTTGAAATAGTTTGAAATATTGTTATGATGGCTATCCAATCTGGACTGATGATTACGATCTGGACTGAAATTTATTCAAAAATATCCGTGTGGTGCAGCTAAATCCGAGCTTACAGCTATCACCAATGATCCCTTTCAGATAAAAATATGGTTTCTTTTTTCTTTTTTTTTCTTTCCTAGGCTGATAGTCTTGAGAGGCTATGTCAGCGTAACCTAACCTTACAACCTTGCTATCACTAGCCCTAGCAAGAGCAGTGTTTTGCAGAATCTACCACCGGATCGGAAACGCGACCCACTGATAAGATTCGGCGAGAAACTCAGTGGGATGTATCTGTAGGTTAATTTACTCAACGAGCACTTCGTCGCAAGCAATGGGTTCGACGAGAACGAAGACCGGTGCTTGAGGTACATAGAAGGAACGTTAGTGGATCTGGAGGATCCAAAATGACGTGAAAATATGGTGTTAATTACACAATTGGGACTTTGACTTGATATGTCAAAAAATAATAATTTCTAGAACAAAAAATAAATCCTTAGCCCATGTGTGATTATCAGTTCGAAATATTTCTAGAACATACATTAGATATGTTGCTTGCATGCTTAAAAAAATGGCACAATTATTGCTAATGTTTTTTTTTAGTTTTACAATTTTCAACGCAGATTCATAAATTAGTGCAAATTTCATTATTTTTAAACGATTTATACATACTATATTATTATGTTCGGTATGTTTTTATATAATAAATAATAGTTTACAAAAACTAACAAAATATGCTTTTATGGAAAATCCAACAAAAAAATAGAAAATAAATTTTAATAAATTTGAATTAGAAATATAAGAAGTGTAAGAAAAAATGATTTTATTGTAAAAAAGCGTGGGGTGCATGGTATCAGTACGCTTGGTGTCAGTATTCAAATTTATAAAAAAATATTTTCTATTTTTTAGTTGGATTTTCTATAAAAGCGAATTTTGTTAGTTTTTTTAAACTATTATTCATTTTTTAGTTGAGCTTTACTTTTTTTAATATTTTTTTTTAATTTTTTTTTATATCGAATTGTCATCGATCCTTACTTAATAAGTAAACCAAATTTCGACTTAATCCGACGTTTTGAAGTGAGTCAAAATCATGTTCAAAGATTCCGTTACAAACATACATACGTCTGAAGCTAATAAAAGCGTATTAAATACATTGGTCTCATTCTACGACTTTCAACTCACGAGTAGTTGTCTTAAAAACTGTAAGCGCTTACCACTCTCGAATTTTTTTGGCTGACCAACTTCAAGGCGGCTTCCGTATCGCCATTCCTGTATTTATTTCCTAGTCTAAAATATTCTGCAGCCTCTACGTGTTTCGAAAATAAGCCACGCGATGTAAACATGATATTGCAATAGACAATGATCTTTTAATTGAACTCAAGAACTGATCGGGACCGACTTTATATTACGTCTGACGGCAGCCTGTAAATATTGTGTACAGAATGCGCGAGATGAGGCCGCTGGTTTTATCAATTTGCAAGCTGAATTCGCTGAATACGTCTTAAATACTAAAGTATTTGTTTCGTTTATGATATCATTACTTTGACTATACATATTTTATGGGGATAATTTAAATTAAATTTGTTTTTTTTTTGTATTGCTTAGATGGGTGGACGACCAGGGCTGGTGTTAAGTAGGTACTGGAGCCCATAGACATATACGACGTAAATGCGTCACCCACCTTGAGATAAAGTTCTAAGGTCTCAAGTATAGTTACAACGGCTACCCCACCCTTCAAACCGAAACGCAATTACTGCTTCACGGCAGAAATGGGCAGGGTGATGGTACCTACACGTGCACACTCACAAGAGGTCCTCCCACCAGTAATTACGAAAATTATAATTTTGCGGGTTTGATTTTTATTACACGATGTTATTCCTTCACCATGGAAGTCAATAGTGAACATTTGTCGAGTACGTATTTCATTAGAAAAATTGATAGGTGATAAATTGACAGATGGGCCGTGAGCTCGTCCACCCTACTAAGCAATAAAAAATTTAAAAAAGTATTTTCACAAGTCCAAAATATTTTCTAAACAATATCGCTGATCGTATTCTAGAAATTATCAATGTAGTACACTGTCACACTTATCATAGTGCATCAATGTCATGCGTCGTGAATGTTTAACTAATTGAAGAACAAAAATACTTTTCAGAGTTTTCATTCACTGCTTTTAAGCATAAACAAGTCTCATAGGTTAAGCTATAAAAAATCCACAATGATGTAACATAATTTTTTTTAACTATTCTCGTATTACCGTAAGGAAGTAATATGAAAAAAGAGTAATCTGTAATGATGCTACCCATAGATTTTAATGTCCGCGCCAAATAATAACGTTATATTTACACTAAGAATGTCTATTCATAAACGAAGGCACGTCTTTCTGTGTAAGGCTCTTGTCAGTTTTCTGATTAATACGACCAATTGCTGTTGTTCATCTGTAAACGTGCAAGCAAATAGAATAAGACATAAAGACCACCAATGCAAAATAACTGCAAGACCGCAGCTGCTTTATTCACTAAGAGCGATGATCAATAGAGTTGTGAAGGATCGTTGATAACAGACCCACGCTCGGCGGTGGTCGACCTCATGGGGTCTGACACGTGGCCATATAAAGTCACCAATAAACGGTGAATCTTAAATAATTCAAAAATAAACGATATAATAATTGGCCAAACCTCAAGATTACTATTAGTTCTTTCTGTGTAAAATGAAACGTCTAGAAATATTTTTATAGGAAAATAGACGTAGTTAGCATAACTAGAGGTCCCGCAGTAGTCGAAATTCGACTATAATTAATTGGAATTGTAAGTTTGTAGACTATTATGATTGTATTTTATACTTCTATAGTCACAAATTTCGCCAAGACTACACTATAAAAAATAGTAACAAAGACAAACAATATTTAATGTATTCTCAATTTGACAACAGACGTCAAGAACAAAAGTTTGACAATAAATAGTATGCGTGCGTGTGTGCGTCAAATACATGGTATCTAGGTGTGTAATGTTTTATTTATTGATTTAATGTATCTTTTTTGCATTATTTTAAAAAAATATTAGCATTGTGAACTTCTTCTCTATATTCTCTAGAAGTGTGGAAAATTTCATACTCCTCCGTCCGCGCAATTTTCGTAAAAAGGGATACAAAGTTTTTGCTTCACGTATTAATATATAGATCTTCAAACTTCGACGTACTTACATACCTTAGCTGTCCCTGACCACAAAAACTCTAAAGTATTACAAACGTCGGTAATATTAAAATAATAATAATAAAGACGAGATTAAACTGCAAGATTCGTCGTGATAAGACTCGTGAAAACTAAAAAGGAAATACTAATTTGAATTTAAAACAAAAAATCTATTTATTTAAAGGGAGAATTTGCTATATTTAATATTTGATAAATATCTATTTTCACTGATTTTCTTCAAATCCTTTGCTTAGTTAACTTTTTACTTAGTTAAATTTTAGCAAATCGAATTCACTGCCAGTTTGACGTTTTTTTGGATTTATTGTCGTATTAGAATCGAGTCTTGATCGAGTGGACTAATAGCTTTAGATTACGTTGAAAAGAGTTTGTATCGTAAATTTATTTGATAATTATAACATATTCGTCGAAGAAAAAGAAATTATTGTGTCAACTTATGATGAATGTTATAATTTGTCGCTTAATTTAGCGTAGGAAAGATCACATTCTGTGTGCGGCCAGAGAGTTGAAGTCTGTAGCGTTAATACCGTTATTCAACTTGAGTCATGAGGTCGAAATCTCAATTTTATTGGAACAACGAACCAAAGCTAAGAATCAAAAAGGCACTTATAACATTACAGAATTTTTATTTTTTACATTTAAGTATGTCGACGCAACGTCGCTATGTGGCTAACTAAAAATAGTTAAAATTAACTGTTTCCTTAATGTTACGCATGTCAACAAATGTTTAAGACGGTGTTCAAGAGAATTCATAACTAAGCTACCCCGACTTTCCACTATAAATAAGAGTGACTATTGCCGCACAAAGCGCCCACTGAGTTTTTCGCCGGATCTTCTCAGTGGCTCGCGTTTCCGATCCGGTGGTAGATTCTGCGAAGCACGGCTCTTGCTAGGGTTCGTCAGGCTTGAACCCCGTGAGCTCACTTACTAGCCCGGTGACGCTGACGTAGTCTCTCTAGACCATCAGCTTAGGAAAGAAAAGAAAAAAGATAAAATCGCACAAAGCGATTCCGTTCCGGGTTACCTGAGCAGCTGGTCGTGTCCAAGAGCGAGAGAGTGCTATGCAAATTCTGAAGCCACCAACTACCAGTGTGTCACCCCCGTTTTGAGCCAGGCGCGTCGATCTCGCCCTCAACGCAGGGATCCAGGACCTGGAATAAGGTTAGAGTGCGATAAAATCAAAAGGTGGTGTCGTCCAAACCGGGAATGGATTTATATGCTGCCGAATTTTGAAAAGAAAAAATAAAAAAATGAAAAAGGTCAATATACCAATCCATTGCCTCCCTAGCCCCTATTGGTTGGCGGAGCTTTGCAGAATAACCTGGATTTACCTTCAATCCTACAAATGACTACCCTGGACTCGGCGGGCTGCTAACTAGGAGTCGTGGAGGGCGCGAGTCGACTACCCGACTATCCGCACCTGAAATAGTACATAGTTCATTGTATATATATCATGTACCGGAGCCGCAGTCAAACCATCCTGCCTTGCAAAACCAACAATTACAATATTCTATTCTCACTACAATTAAAATACAGGGCGGACCTCGGGTCCTACCCACACCACACCCATTCCAAATTCTAATTATTTCAAATACAATTAAACCTAAAACTGTACATACCTGAACTACATTGGAATCCGTCAGACACTGAGCCCGAGTAAATTCCAACCTATATTATACTCGCCCAAATGGCAATTGATTCGCGTAGTCCATCCCACAGCTATTGTTTAGTCACAACTCAAATCTAATACAAGGGAAACTAATCTCGGAGAGGCCCCGCAGACTTTTGCGTGGCTTTTTTGTATTTTTACTTTGTACACTATTTCATTCCACTTTAAATCAATAAACAGTGCAGTGATTGGCACAATTTATCATTTACTATTACTACCCCCGTTCTAACAAAACAAGTTTGACACATTCCAATTACAACTATAGCTCAGTTTACCTTAATTTTCAAGACCACTGGCATTTGGCCTTGTGGTTCGGTGTGCCAAAATAACTACTGTGCAAACGAATTTTTATTTTTATTTTCTTCCATAGCCCTCCCCAATAAGTCGCCAGACACTGTTTTTTTTCTGGTTTTATTTCTGTTTTTATTTTTTAATTATAACTGAAAACTTAAAATTTTTTTAATTTTCGTTCTCCTAGTTAATATCAGTTTACTTTGTATTCAAGTTCGCATTTTATTTAGTAGCTGGTTCTACCCCCATTCAGCCGTAATCAGTTCACTAGTCAGGTGAACGACACTCTCGGCAGCGACCTGGTCTGTGCGTGCGTCCGGTCCGGTGGACGGCAACTGAGGTGGAAGACCTCCTACCAAATCATCCATATTGGCATCATCGTAATCATCGTAATAATTTGTATTATTTTATCTCTTGGTACTAGGGTAATTTTTATTACTATTGTTGCTTTGTCCGGATCAGTGGGTTGAGGGGTCTCCTCCGAACCGGATCTGGTACCGGCACTGACAAACTTCCCCCACGAATATCCTCCTCTTCCTCCCTCCCTTCTCCCTGGCGAGGACGGTATCCCACCCCCTGCTCTTATTAACCTCCTCCCTCAATCGTGTCAGCAATGACACGTGGTCAACGTGGGTAAGACTGCGATATTTCTCCATGACCCGGTCCGTAGCAGAGTCGTCTCCAAGAAACTCAGCCTCCGAGGTGTGAATATCAAGCTTAAGCCAAAGGTCTGGTATCTCGGCTGTGACATCGACCGCTTGTTGAACATGGTGGCGCACGCCAACCGAATTATCAGTTCGGCGAATGCGGCCAGGTTCTTGTTGCGGCCGGTGCTTGCGTCTGGGCCCCCAACCAGGATTAATCCCGCTATTTACAAGACTATAAAGACAAAATTATAATTTACGTAGTGGTAGGAGGTCTTGTGAGTCCACGCGGGTAGGTACCACCACCATGCCTATTTCTATCGTGAAGCAGTAATGCGTTTCGATTTGAAGGGTGGGGCAGCCGTTGTAACTATACTGAGACCTTATAACTTATATCTCAAGGTGGGTGGCGCGCTTACGTTGTAGATGTCTATAGGTTCCAGTAACCATTTAATACCAGGTGAGCTGTGAGCTCGTCCACCCACCTAAGCAATAAAAAAAAACATACTCCATCGTATGTGAGGCGGGAGTTCACTCATACTAGGCGCGGCCTAGTACCACCTTTTGTCGCAGTCCCAGCGAGCCAG